CAATGTAAGCAGCTCACTGCATAAATGCTTCAGCTGGAACATTATCTCAGGAAGACAAGCTGCCTGTGGGAATTGCTTTCAAATTACTCCATTAGCTGGCCCAATTTCCTGGCTGCTCTAGGTAAATTCTGAGTTACTTGAGAGTGGGGAAAGGAAGGGTCTAAGCAGCCTGCAGGTGCATACAGTTCAGCTTCTTATTGCCAAGTGTGTACAGAGAAACCAGTACCACTTGATCAAGGGCAGCAGGGAAGGACAGTAGTTCAGCCTTTTCTGCAGTTTCACTTACCTTTAGTCCACCTCAACCTAAACATTAAATAGAGAATTCCAGAAACCAAAAATTCATTGTTTTAATTGCATACCATTTCTAAGTAGTGTGGTGTACAAGACTGCCTCTGCCTAGCATTCCATGCCACATGTGCTGCCTGTCCTGAGTCATTCAGTGACTGAGCATATAGACCACCAAGGTGTTGCAGTACTTGTGACAAGTGTTGTGACTTGAAAATACCCCAAACACAGATGAATCCAGTGCCATGGTTCTTAAAATCCAAAGAGGAGCTGCAAAATGGACTTACTGGAGCTTGAAGATGTTCTGAAAGAGCAGGTTCACAGAACTTCCATCACAGCACATTGGTGTGGTTGTTAGCCTCCTACAGTGTCTAATTTAGGATCATAAGTATGTGGTACTTAGAGACCTAGAAAAAGGTCTTTGCTATTAATTTCAGATCTCCACTGAGGTCCTAGGATGTGGCCCCACAGATAAGGAAAGCTGCCGCATGTGTTGCAGGTACAGGAACTGGTCTGCAGCAGGACTAAACACTTGACTGGCTAAAACCTAATGGGGTCCTGTGACCTCTGTCCAGATCATACCTAGTTTCTTTAGGACCCTGAAGGAAAGAGCATTTTCAAAACTGAAACCAAGTTAAAAGTTGGAAGGTTTTGAAAGCATGGGGAGCTTAGTCAGGCTACTGTTAGAACAAGCATGGAACATACAGCCACAGAGATGATCTTCCTTGGGAGTAGTTATTGTTTACCTCTCCTAACCACCCAACAAGCAGTTAGTTCTGCAGGAAGAGGCTAATCCTAGGCTGATTGATCAGTGATGCTGGGTTAATCATGGGAGAAGCTCTGTTCACACTAACATTGTTTCCTTACTGTGGCCCCTAGCTTCTTGTTCATCCCTTTTTATTTCTTAAACAAACAGAATACGGTGCACCTGAAGATGAGGAACTCAAAACACAGCAGCCATTCATGCTCAAAAATCAGCTACTAAGTAAGAATCCTTTCATATACATGCTTTGTACTGGGTATGAAGCAAGTGGTGATGGCTTGTTTGATAGGGATGAAGTGTGTTTCTCCTGGGGCAGTGGTTCTCAACCTGCCTAATGCTGCAACCTGTTAATACAGTTCTGGTGACCCCCAACCATAAAATTATTTTCACTGCTACTTCATAACTGTAATTTTGCTACTGTTATGAATCATAATGTTAGTAACTGTTTTGTGATGGTTTTAGGTGACCCCTGTGAAAGGATCATTCAAGACAACACACACACCCCAATTGAGAACCATTGTCTTAGGGAGTAATGATCCCAAACTCAATCAGTTTGTGTTGGGCATTCTGACAGCCCCCATGCTGTTGACTCTCTGAATAGCCTTCTAGGTGTAGGAGAGAGTGGAGTAGTAAACCACGCTGTAATGTGGAATCCTGCACTGTGCACATGCAGAACCCTAGCTAAACTGTCAGGAAGTAGTACGGAGGGAAAGAAAAGGTGATAGAATTCTGGGTCAGCTGTTTGAGACATGAACTTGTTATATAAATCCAGGCTGCCTTGTACTCATTAGCCTCTGCTATACCTTCCCCAGTTCTGGGACCATGATATCTTTTTGATTTTTTTTGTTTTGAGACAAGGTCTCATAGCTGGCATGTGTTGTCTAGGCTGGACTTGAATTTGTGACAATCCTACCACAGCCTTTCAAGATGGGATTATAGCCTGGAATTACAGGTGTGCACCATCACACCTAGCTTTATGGAAATATAGAGATTTTTAACATCATTAAGGCCCATTTATGAGGATTGAGCCAAGTTGTGCCAAACTGCTACATTATCTGGCAATCTCTTGGCCTGCATGTTTTTCCTTATTGGTGCTAGTAATCAAACTGAGGCCTTGTGTATACAAAATATGTGCTCTACCTCAGAGGCACAGTCCCAGTTCTACATGCATGCATGCTGTCAATCCCTGCTATGGTGCTTAGTAATTTTCTCCCTTTTTCCTTAAAGCACTGAAGATAAAATGCTCCAACCAAGTTGAACAGAAAGTATTAGAAAAGCAGTTACCAGGTAAGAGCATGCCCATCTCTGCTGTCCAAGTTCTTGCGAAGCACTGTCTTAGAGTAGAGCGAGGTGGAGTCTTAACTTATAGTTTATGTAGACCTCAGAACTTAAGATGTTTTCATTAGTGCTTAATCTAAAACATACTAAAGTTCTGATCTCCAGTATTCCATCAGCTTATCTGGAAAGCAGTTTTATTAAAAATTTTGAGCACCCCTGCCTGTGATGGTGTGGTGGAGTTTCTTTCTTTCTTTTTTTTTTTTTTTTTTGAGACAGGGTCTTACTGTGTTACTCTGGCTGACCTTGAACTCACATACCTGCCTCCCAAGTGCTTGAATAAAAGGCATTTGCCATCACATCTGTGCCATGTGATAGTGTGTCCAGCCACAAGTGTGAGGACTTGACTTGAATGGAATGCTTAACCCCTTAAAGGAATTACTTCCTATGCCCATGTGTTTAAGATTCTCTCGGGCTTTTCTTGTCTAGAGATGATTTCCTGATAAGGAGAGAAGTCAGTGCTTTTATACAACTTGGGGAGAAAGAAAATTTTTTCAAAATCCTCTAAAAAACATTTGTACTACTGGAACTAATTTAATATTAAGAAAAATAAATGCTTTTGGATAAATATAATTCAACTCAGACTTGCACTCAGAAGAATCAGCCTATTTTTTTTTTTAGCATGACAATTCTATAAATTCTCAAGATTAACTTGAGTCACAGCTAAATGCTGGGGGGTTAGATTTAAAGCCAGGAGCACTTGAAGAAATGGAAACATAGGCGTCTGACTGACTCCAGTAAATATATTTCCCTATTTGCCTACCGTAAGTGCTGTAAATTCATTGATTTTACATCCATGTTCATTAGACAAAAGCTTGCCCATGATACCATACATAGCTCATGGAAGGCTAGTTACACCCAGAAGAGTATTTTCCTGAATAACCATCCATTTAGGGCCAGTTTCTCCTGTTTTTTTTTTTGTTTTGTTTTGTTTTTTAGCAATTCAATTTCTATTACTGGTATATAATATATAATGACAAATTAACAGTGTGTATTAACTTTTTTCTTGTTGCTCAGAAAAAATACTCAAGCTAAGCAATGTAAGGACAGGTGCACTGTTCATGGCAGGAAAGACTGGTGGGAATGGGGCAGTAGTCACATTATGTCCATACTATGGAAGCAAAGCTATGCTGACAACTCAACCTGCTTTCTCCCCTTCCCATCCTTATTCAGTCTGGGATGGGACGCAGCCTACTCCTCTCTAGATGCAGCAAGTTTGATTAAGCACATTCAGGGTAGTACGGCTGTCGAATTAGGTCACAAACAGGAAAAGGCTAGTTTTATTCTAAAATAGAGAAGATTTATTATCACAAGTTGCATAAAAACACAGCTTTCATTAAAAAAACGATTTTTATAGAAAAATAATTGTCTACATTGTGATATTTGTGGGACACCAAACTATTGCTGTACTTTCAGCTAAAGCTTCAGAGAAACTAATATCCTTAATCAAAATATCCACTATGTACCACAACCTGTCTTTGGAAAGAAGTTCCTAGTGTGTTCTGAATAGACCAGAGCATTTGTTTTTCTGAGTTACCTTCCCATACCTGGTAGTCATGTGTATGCACATCCTGATGGTGACCGGATGCTCATGCTGGGAGAGACCTCATCAACCACTTAAGTCTATGCTCTCTTCTAGAGGGGAAATAAGGCTGAGAGGTGTCCTCAAGGCCCCACTCATGGGATCTTCAGCAACCCATCAGGAAGTTATCACAAAGGCCTATATTTTTCCTCCTCAGTGAAATGATTATTTCTGGTTACTCAGATTGAGGAGGAAATAGTAAATGCTACTGAAATGGTATGACACCTCACTGTCAAGACCACTTGGGTCAAACATTAGCTCCATTTCCCAGTTTACCAAAAGAATCAACTGGTCAAATGACTCAAGCTTTTGTCACTTAGTGTCTTAGGTACTGCCTCACCTGAGCTATTTGTACACATAGTCGTCATTTGAGAGAAATGGATTTTCCTTTTCTTTGATAGATTCCATGACAATTCAAAAGGTAAAGGGACTGCTGTCACGTCTTCTCAAAGTTCCTGTGTCAGAACTTCTGTTGTCCTATGAAAGTCCCAAGGTAAGTTGCTAAGCAAAAACACAAAGCTATGCTAAGCTTAGTTCTCCATAGTGAGCCATACATAACAGATCCTAAATGGAGGCAGCATTTTGACTCTTCAAGCTACCTGCCATTGGAGGGCGGCGTGTATACTACGCATTATAGATGTCTTACTCACTCCTCCCTATTCTGTTCTAATTTTAGATGCCGGGCAGAGAAATTGAACTAGAAAATGACCTACAGTCATTACAGTTTTACTCTGTGGAGAATGGAGATTGTCTACTAGTGCGATGGTAACAGTCCAACCCTAAGAGTTTAGCGACTGGAATGTTGTATACACCAGAAACAAAAACTTTGCCCTCACAAAGGATGTATGTTTTGTTGGGAAAGGACCATTTGGTTGTATATTAATAGAATAATAAAGGCTTTGATTACTAGTGATTTTTCTACTCCTGTTTTCATAGCTTACTGCATTCCAATATGTGAAGATGTAAATATGAAGTAAAAACAATACTCTAAATCTGATTGGAGTTAACATCTGCTGTGGGCTACTTAACTATTAAAAAAGTTTACTACGGTAATTTGGTTGGTCATTCTGAGAAATGTCCCTTAAACTGAGGAAACTCATCTTCTATTCTGTACAACATACTTTCCCCTACATTATACTGAACCTATCTTCCACAGATTACCACCTCCTCAAGCTTAGGTAAACATCAGGTAAGGCAGAGTACCTTCCCTACTTCCCTGTGACACTGAACCCTGAGGTGTTTACTTTTACTCATACTCACAAAAACAGTTTAGTGAGAGTAAGCTGAGACATTCAGGATTTACATTAAATGGTAAAAGAAAACATGGTACATATGTAAATAAACATCTTTAAAAGCAAGATTCCAAACTTCAGGTTACAGTATTTCCTTTTCAAGGCCAGTTTGCCCATGTCAGAGATCCACAAACTGGTATTTCCAGCAACCCAGACTTTGGTATATGTGGCCCCAGGGCCACACAGCATCTTTGTACATTCTTTCTGGCCTTATTAAGCTATACAGAGCTATTTTATCATCCTGATTGAGATTCAAATGGAGTTATTACAACTTTCTGAATTTGGCCAGGTTTAACAAAAAATGGTAATGATGAATTACTAATTAGTAACAGTGATCAGAAGTTAGTAGTATTTTTTTTTAAAATAATTTGGTATTAAATTATCTTCCAATTTACAAATAAAAACTTATGCTACAGTATCAATTGATTCATTAAGATCTGTGCAAACACTAGTCATATCATACTGCTTATAGTTCAATACCAGCCACGAGGTCTCCTCAGACTTACAGTTCCTGGTCTTTGAGGATCACTACACTTTTGCTTCACACTGACAAGGATCCCCACACAGTTCCTTAAGTTCCCACAGTCTGCTCAGCTCTTGTGGTGAATACTGAGGAGAAGACAGCATTCCTGTCTCACAGGTTTTCTCACACAGCCACAGGCTGTCCTGTTAAGAAACAAAATAGAAGACAGAATCAGGAAACTACATGTGGGACATTTCATTGTACTCTACCAATACTGAACCAACTCTTGAATTGGGGTGTGGGGATGGCTCCTGATTTTGGGAAAGCACCACAGCCTCATAGTCCTGGGCCTATGAGCACAGAAACTACAGTGTGAAGATTAAGTCACCAAATGCCACACTACCCCATAAATATGCACAATTACTATGTTGTCAGTTAAAATAAATACATTAAGATTCTTAGAAGAGTCAGCACATGCAATTCTATAAAAAGTACAGAGAGCACAGATGAACACTTTCATATTCTCCTTTAGAGAGAGGTCATAAAGCAGTGGCAGCAGTTCTCTGATAGCATGCCTGCAACTCTTTGTAAATCACCCCATTTAAGTATCAAATGCTATGAAAGCACTATGCTGTAAGAACAGGCACGTCCAAGACTCCTGACCTGAGTCCCAAGTACCACATTGCTCAGCAGAGTAACAACACATACATGAATAAAAACACATATATGAGAACATAAATCCTGGCTAAAATATGAAAATCTTTTTAAACCATGACAATTCTGACGGGCATAGGGGCTGCTGGAACTAGCATGTGTCTGGAGGGTACCTGGTAATCCCTGTTTCTTAAAAACACCTAGAATGAGGGGCTCACCTGTGACAGCATAGTGGGCCCCGTGCCTTGGGGACATGGAAGAAAACAAAGCTTTCTATCCAAGAGGCTGTTCAGCTCCAGAAGATCCAAGCCAGCAATGTTAAGTATTTAAAAGTGACAGTGCCCCAGAGGGCAAGACAAAATGACTATCCTCTGTATGACTGTTACAAGCCAGGGTTACAATAAAGGATCTCAACATGTCAACAAACTCCACAAACAGCCTTTGGAAACTACAAATCACAACATTCAGATTCTCTGAGAGTATGATGCAGCAGCAGGACTCAGGCTGAGCTGACTGAGTATGTATTCCTGTTACCAAATGAGCAAGTATGAATCTGTGGCTCTGAATGGCAAGCATTGCATGACCTGTTCTCTGTACCTTCTACACCAGAGTAGACGGTGCAAGAATCCAGAAGTCAATACAACAAATAAGGCAGAAGCCTGTTCCTCCTGCCCCCAAGTTTCCCACTTTCAATTTTGGTCTTTACATACACATTTCCCTGCCCTAGCTCCTTACAAATAAAATACTAGGAAAAGTCTGCTGTCAGGAGTTGAGAGGTCTCACTGTCATGGGCCAGAAACTCAAGTCAATAGATTCTAAACTGTAAAACTATAAGGAATTTCTGATCAAATCTAAAGACCTAATTCTTTTTTGTAAGGAACTTTCATTCATAGCATTTCCTTTTGGTTTAAACTTAGACAACTGTTCTGAGGAATAATAAGGTACAGTGTTGGAGCTTAAGAGCACAGCTGGGATGCCAGAAGGCTTTCATTTCTTATGCCTAGGGTTGGATGTACAGTATGTAAGTTCACCTGCACACCTCCAAGAGCCCTGAAGCCAACAACCCCATACTTGCTTACCTGGTGTCTTTTAGGGCCTATGGCTGCCATCCAAATGCCCATGCTGACATCTTCACCCTACTCGTGATCAAATGCAAACTTTTTAAGTTTTTGTAAAGACAAGGCCATATGTAGATTAAGCCAATCCAGATGTACAAGAGCAAGCTAGAGATGGGAAACAGGAAGCACACAGCGAACTAACAAGTCTGAAAGTGTGCTGTGGATCTAATAGCTGGGCACACTTGCTCCCAACACTATAACCAGGTCAGGAGGAAGAAAGCATTTCTTTAGCTTCTTCCTTATAACAGAAGTGTTTACATTCCTCCAGAGAATATACTTTGCAAATGAAGACTAAGAACAGTGTAAACAGGCTCAAGTAAGATACAGGAATAGACATCATGGCTAGAGTCTGAGAGGTGGCAGGAATACATCCCTGACCTTTAGGGAATGACTCCTACAGAGAAAGAACAATCATGGTAAGCTGGCTCTGCTTCAGGGCCATCTCAGGACATTGGACTGGATGAGTGATCTTGTTACCTGATAGGTCTTTAACCTTCCGGAGTTGCCTGCCAGCCAGTCAACGATATCCTTGGAGATCACGTACCCTGACCCACATGCAAAGGCAGGGTAGGCTGGGCTGGGGTATTCCAGCTCCTGCCACTTTCCAGTTCTGTCCACTGCCCAATTCAACCTGAAACTGAGAAGTTACAAAGGTGATGGCTGGCCACGTCCTTCTACTGGATTCCTTTGATCACTACAAAGGGACTGGCTTGTAGAGCAGGGAAAAATTCTTGCATCTAAGGAAAGGAATTATTTACCAAATGGTACTTTATATAGATTAGTTAGGTAAGATCTCAGTTTCTTTTTTTTTTTTTTTTTTTGGTTTTTTTTCGAGACAGGGTTTCTCTGTGTAGCTTTGCACCTTTCCTGGGACTCACTTGGTAGCCCAGGCTGGCCTCGAACTCACAGAGATCCGCCTGGCTCTGCCTCCCGAGTGCTGGGATTAAAGGCGTGCGCCACCACCGCCCGGCAGATCTCAGTTTCTTAATAGAAGCCCACCCCATCCGTGTTTCAGTATATATTTAAAGGAAACCAAACCCACCAAATCACTGATCCTGCAGTGATTCCTGAAGACAATGGCTATGGAGATGTGTCATACATGATTCTGACAAAAAAACATACAGCTTCAGAGGACCATGCACTTCTAAAACCACATCTTTGACTCTTGGCTAATAAGCCTGAGATTTTTCAATAGAATAAAAAATTACCAAAAAAAATTACCTCTGATTATAATGACAGCAAACTAATCTAAAACAGTTTAATAAGAAATTTCATAACATTTTTCCTGTGGAAAAATAACTTTCATATTTCATTCTAAATTAATTACACTTAGGTACACTGCAAGTCAATGGCTGTCCATGTTTCACTTACTTTCCCCACCAAAAATTAGGCCCATCTAGATTCTTCTGAGCAATTCTATTAAATACAGCTTCTAAGTCTATGTAACAGTCATCGTCTGTCTTCAGCAGCAAACTGAAGCTGGTGGTTTCCACAGTCCTGTTGACAGAAAAGGAGATATGCAAGTAAGCACAACCCTGGAAGGATACACACTGCCTATACAGCTGTGCACCTGCAGTGTCTTATCCTGCACACAGAACACTATCACTGTGACCATCAACTGTGGCTGGTCCTCACCTGCCCAACTGATATAACAGAGAAGAATGAGAAGAACATGTGACTGAAGTAGAATTTCCATTCTAACAAGTGCTTCCCAGTCATTTTCCATGTCTGCTACCAGATCTACCTGTCACCTGTACCTTGTCCCATGTGTGCCTAGTTATAAAGTCCAGGATCATGGTATCAGATCTGAAGCTCTCATCTAGAACACCGTGGAACAGGGTTGTTATATGGTGTTCCCCAAAATATTGTGCACCTAATAAACTTATCTGAGGTCAGAGACAGAACAGCCACTAGATACAAAGGCTAGAAAATGGTGGCACTCACACCTTTAATCCTAGCATTCCAGAGGCAGAAATCCATGTGTTCCAGGATACAGCCAAGCATGGTGACTCACACCTTTAATCCCAGAAAGCGAGCCTTTAATCCCAGGAAGTGATGGTAGAAAGCAGAAAGGTATATAAGGTGTGAGGACCAGAAACTAGAAGCATTTGGCTGGTTAAGCTTTCAGGCTTCTAGCAGCAGTTCAGCTGAGATTCATTCTGGATGAGGACTCACAGTCTGAAGAAACAGGACCAGCTGAGGAACTGGCGAGGTGAGGTAGCTGTGGCTTGTTCTATCTCTCTGATCTTCCAGCTTTAACCCCAATACCTGGCTCAGGTTTGATTTTATTAATAAGAACTTTTAAGATTCATGCTACAAAACAGGCCAGGTATGGTGGGAAGCAGAGAAAGGTGGAGCTCTGTGAGTTCTAGGCCTGCCAAGAGATACTGAGTGAGATTGTCTCAAAACTTTTTTTTTCAAATAACTATATTATGGGTTAAAACATGACCTATAACATGCAAACATATTTTTCTTTGGAACCAATTTCCAGCATTAAGTTATTATAAACAACCTCTGGAAGAACAGGAGGGTGACTTACTTCATTTCTCCAAACTTCATGGCCTCAAACAGGGCAAAACCAGTTCCCTACCTCACTGTCAATCTCGGCACATCTGTTTTTAAGTACAGACTTGTCAAGGGACCAGCTAGAACTTATATGTAGTTCAAGCTGGCCTCAAACTCACAAAATCCACCTGCCTCTGCCTCTGAACTGATGGGCTTAAAGGTGTGTACCACCAAACTCAGCCTTTTATTTTCAACAGTATAATAGACATATAGTATTTGCCGATCAGAAATAAACTTGTTTTTTTAAAGATTTGTTTGTTTGTTTGTTTGTTTATTATGTATACAGTGTTCTGTCTGCATGTATGCATGCAGGCCAGAAGAGGGCACCAGATCTCATTACGGATGATTGTTTATTTATTATGTATACAGTGTTCTGTCTGCATGTATGCATGCAGGCCAGAAGAGGGCACCAGATCTCATTACGGATGATTGTGAGCCACCATGTGGGTGCTAGGAATTGAACTCAGGGCCTCTGGAAGAACAGCTAGTGCTCTTAACCGCTGAGCCATCTCTCCAGCCCAGAAATAAACTTTTGTTATAAAGACATTTAGGTCATTGGTGATTCTCAGTAAATAAGGCCAAATAATTAAAGATCGACTTAAAATGTGGAAGGTACAATTAATATTCTCCTATTAGAAGAACACTGTCCTCCCTTCCATCCGCAATGTTTTTTTTCCTCCCTCCACACAAAGCATGCTGAAAAACAGAAGGTGGAGGGTTATGTGGGCTAGGAGGAGGCAGGTCTGAAAACAGCCTTGATGAGGTTGGCAACAGCACTACAGAGGAAGTGAGGAGGGAAGCAGAAAACAATGGGAGAGGTATGGAAGGGACAGGACAAGGAAAACAAAGGATCTCTGTTAGAAATCCTAGTGCCCTACCCCATCTAAGCCCTGACTTCCCCTTCATGGCACTCCTCATGGTGCCTTATCTATACTTGGAACTCTAAGGGACAGGCTCCTTTTTCTTTCCCCTCCTTTTTGAGCAGGGTTTCTCTGTATAGCCCTAGAACTTGATAAATAGACCAGGCTGGTCTCAAACTCAAAGAGATTTGCCTGCCTTTGCCTCCCAAGTGCTGGGATTAAAGGTGCACCACCACAGCCCAGCTGTGACAGGCTCCTTAAATATTGCTGTCTAAATGCAGTCCTGGTATTTCAGACTTATCTGCCTTCCATCCACAGATGACTCCAAAATAACAATAATTAGCCCCAGTTAGGAAATGTTACCTTCCACAAACTGGACCATCTATAGATCATGACTCCAAAAAAACATATCCACAGTGCCCTTGTGAACTTCCCACCTGGGAAGGGACTTGAAGAAAGAGATCTGGTAGGCCTTTCCAAGAAATAAGCCCTTGATAAGGCTTCAAAGGATAAGGAAAAGTTGTGAAATCCCAGGTTAGGCATGGGTGAGACAGACAGACAACTCCAGGGAGTTAGTACCTCAGTCATATGAGAGCAAGGTGCACCTCAGCAAGTCAGCACAGCCCCAAGTAACTACCAACTATGCATGTTAAAGATTCTAACATACTGTCACAAATGTAGAGTACAACCAAGAGTTAAGAATCACTGGAGGTTCTAGGAAGTTAGGAGAGTTAATTTCACTGAGCAGCTATAAAAGTTTGTAAACCAGACAAGTATTTGTTGGCTTTCAGAATCTACCATGCTGTGAAAAGCTAGCCTTAAACTTCTAGGCTCAAAAGAGCCTCTGTCTCAGCCTCTGTGTAGCTGGGACAAAACTCATGCACCACTGCATCTATCCCAATGCAAGGAGTTTGGAAGTTGATAGAGTAGAGAGAGACTGGATATTTAAAGGTGGATATTTAGTTGAGCAGAATTCAGATTAGTAACTTAGTGTGAATATAATTAGGGAACTGGAGTGTATAGGTAGAAACAACACTAAAAAGGACCATTTCCAGTCTCACTGATTTCATCCAATGCTAGGCTGAGACACCCAAAGTGTGTGGGAATGACTCTAAGGGAATTAATTTTTGATTGTTGTTTTTGACCACTTAATGCCATTCACACTGTGGATCTGTTCATCTAAATAAGAAAGCAACAGCACATTAGAAGATGTCTTTAAAAGGAGCCAGGAGGTGCTGAAGAGTTGGCTCAGGAATCAGGACTAAGTACTGCTCTTCCAGAGGACCCATGTAGGACCCATTTGGTTCCTGGTACCCATGTAGGGCAGCTCAAACTGCTTGTAACCCCAATTCCAGAGATTTGATGCCTTCTTCTGGCCTGCAAAGGCAATCACACACACAAAGCAGACACACAGACACATACACGAGTCATTTTTTAAAAACCTTAAAATTAAAAAGAAATTGTTTTTAAAGGATCAGTGATGTAACAGGTCACATCCCAGAGCATGAGTCTTTTGAATTTTGAAATTTCAGTGGTTTGATGTTTCTACATCAAAATAACAGAGCAAATTTTCGCTACCCAATATCCACACAACCTACCATCTATAGAAGTCCAGTAATTTTGCAGGAACATTCCGGTAAGTATCCACAACATCCACGAAGACAATGTCATCATAGACGCTGCTCTCCTCCTGCAGTAAGGCATCTTCCACTCGCAAATCCCGAATGTGGTCTGAGAGTCTCCGGGGCCGCGAATGGAGGCTTTGTAACAGTGCATCTCCCTCTGAAAAGGAAATGCTGACTGCTAGAGAAAAACATGACTGCATGCTCAGGACCCAGAACTTGACAGTGTTACAGAATTCCTTCCCCAAGGAAGCAGTGGAGCACACGTGCATTAGAATCTTCAGTTGGGGCCGAGTTACAGCTCAGTGAAGCCTACTTGTGATATGACATTAGAGATATTATCTTACTTGGGCACCACAATGTTCTCTGCAGCACTGTTGGCTATGCTGGGAAACAACAAAATTGGAACCAACAGAAAGAGTCCAACTATGCTTTACTTGCATAACAAAATGCAATACCTTAAAAAGTGAGCTTTTTGGCTTTGTTTTAGAGACATGGTGTTGCCACATAGCCCAGGATGGTTTTGAAGTCATAATTTTCCTAGTCTCCTAAATCAGTATTTCAGGCATACAACTTTGTACCTGCTCAATAAGGGACTTTCAACTTGAAAAAATGACCTTTCACAGCATATTAAAAAACAAGGTTAGCTACACTGAGTTTGCTTTTACACTAGCTAACTTACCCTGAACAGTGTAGATAAAGCCACCTGCAACTCCCTCCACACCTTCCATGAATTCATGAGGCATTGCCCCTTCTCCAGCCTGAAAAGAATGAGAACAGAAGTGCTCAGGCATTTTCATGACTAACAGTGAATGTGTTACAGTGCAGAGCTGGACCAGCAGATGCCCAAGGTGCCTGCCCTACAACAGATACTGATGCCATGCATTCCTTTTACTTTCTTTTTTTTGTTTTTGTTTTTGTTTTTGAAGACAAGAGTTTCTTTGTGTAACCTTGGCTGTCCTTGAACTCACAGAAATATGCCTGTCTCTGCCTCCTGAGTGCTGGGATTAAAGGCATGCACCACAACCACCTGGCCTGCTTTATTTCTTTATTTTTACTTCATGTGCAATAGATGTTTTGTATGCATGTGTAGTGCAGTGCCACAGGTCAGAGGAGAGCATCAGATCATGAGGCCGGAGCCACTCTGTGGGCACCAGGAACCCAGCATAGGGCCTCTGGAAGAGTGGTGCAGTGGACTGAGTAAAAATGCACTCGCCCATAGGCTCATATATTTGAATATTCTGTTCCCAGTTGGTGGGACAGTTTGGAAAGGGTTAGGAGGTGTGGTCTCATTGGAGGAGACGTGTTACTGGGGTGGGCTTTGAGGTTTCAAAAAGCCATTTCCAGTTAGCTCTCTGCCTCAAGCTTATGGATCAAGTTGCAAGCTCTCAACTACTGTTTCAGTACCAAGCTAGCATGCCTGTGTACCACCAGCCTCCACACCATGGTGGTCACGGACTCTGACCACTTGGAACTGTGAGCCCAAAATTAAATACTTTCTTTTATAAGACGCCTTGGTCTTGCCTTATCATGGCAACAGAAAAATAATGAAGATAAGAAGCCAGCACTCTTAACCACTAAGCCACCTTTCCAGCCCTTATGTCATGGATATAAAGCATCAGGATGACTCTGGCCCAGTGCTCAAAATTCCAACTTAGAGATAAATAAATGTTCTTATACTCACAACCACAATAGTATAAAACTCAACTTAATTTATATCTAACTTTATCACTTTAAAAACATTAAAGAATTGTCACTTTTTTCACAAAAATTCTCACGAATTTGACAAGATCTTATTGCACTTGAGAATTCAAGGGCCATGCAGAGAAAAGCTTCTTTAAGTCATTATCCGTTCCCAACTTGGTGAGGTGGTGCACACCTTTAATTCCACCACTCGGGAGGCAGAGGCAAGTGGATCTGAGTTTGAGGCCAGCCTGGTCTACAGGAGTTCCAGGATAGCCAGGGCTACACACAGAAACCCTGTATCAAAAACCAGACAAACAAACATCATCTGTTCCCAACAAATCAGATGTAGACCAACTTCCTACTCTGTTGAAGACCTAGAACTTAACTGTCACCAGCCAACAACAGTCCTGCCTCTTAGACTAGAGGTACTTTTCATCAGTATGCTGTGCTCCAACTTGTCTGCCTTCCACAGCTCTCCCCTAGCTGCTAGGGCTGAAGCTAACTGTCAAAAGCAGCCATTAGTCCCTTCACAGCATTTTTTATATGGACTTCTCTTGTCAGACGGGATACTATGCGGCTACTTTCTTTAAGCAGATCTCAGTAGAAAAGACTCTACACAGCACCATTTTAAGGCCACTAAAGAGTATTCTGAGGTCACTGTGGATAACATGGATAACATTAATATTTAAAATACAGTTTGTAGTTGAACGTTTTAGAGTTCAACTCTGGTTCCATAATTGTGGTATACTTAAAAAACAAAACAGAACAAAAAAAACTGTAGCATGTTCTTATTTGTTTTGACTTGTTTAGAACTTAACAATATTCTAATACTCATTGTGTTCTTGTTTGATTTCTGTTGTTGTGATAAGCACTCAGACCAAAAGCAGCTTCTATGAGGAAAGTGTTTATTAGCTTATACTTCCAGGTCACATCCATCACTGAGGGAAGTCAGGGCAGGAACTAAAGCATGCACTTAGAGGCAGTCTGCTAACTATTCCATGCAGCATTCCCTCTCACCAGGAAACTGGGTCACAGTCAGGGAACACAGCAGATATCACAGAGGAATGCTGCTGGATGGGTCACTCAGCCCATGCTTAGCCCGAGACCTCCTGTCCAGAGAGCAGTGTCACCCACAGTGGAATGGGCCTTCTCTATCAATTAGCAATCAAGATAGTCCCCCAGACAGGCCCAGAGGCCACAGGCCACATCCTTCCGAAAATGACTCCAGGCAGGACCAATTGACAGTTAAAGCTAACTAGGATTCCTTGCTATTAACTTTTCTCAAAGGTTACAGCCTAGCTGTAAATTTTCCTTTTTCATCACTCACTGATAGGGAGCAGACTTGGGGAAATTCTCCCACTAAGGGGCTTCTGCTACGCCCCCTTTCTTCTTCAGTCAGTTGACCTCTGACGCTGTCTCTCCCCATCCACCGCTAGTTTCCCTCCAGAGCAGATCATTTGTCTTTATATTTAAACTAAATCTTCCACTCAGAAGGAAACATTTCCTTAGTATAACAAATCAAAGACTATGGAATTTTGGTGTATCCTAGATATTTTTAAGTTTCACAAATAGAAGGTGGCATGATATTAAAGGCACTTGTCCTAAAAATAATTAAAAAAATTATGATTCCTTCCATAAAATTCTCTATCTTAAGTAAACAATGGATAAAATACTGTACACGGCCTACAAGGCTAAGGGTATAATACATGAGATTTTGGGTCCATTTGTTTAATATATTTTCTTTCCTTTTAAACATTTTAAAATTACATTTATTTCTTTGTGGGTGTGTATGTATACAGGTGTACCCACTGAATTGAGGCCATCAGGCTTGGCATCCAACGCCTCGACCTTGAGGCACCCTGCCAGTCCCTGACTCACTTTCTTCCTGACTGGGATGTGATGAAGTAACTGTGCCTGCCTTTCTTTTTCTTTTTTGTTTTTTTTAAACTCTATTTAATTTATTATGTATACAATGTTCTGTCTGCATACATCCTTGCAAGCCAGAAGAGGGCACCACATATCATTGTAGATGGTTATGAGCCACCATGTGGTTGCTAGGAATTGAACTCAGGACCTCTGGAAGAGCAGCCAGTGCTCTTAACCTCTGAGCCATCTCTCCAGCCCCCTGTACCTGCTTTTCAGTGGGTGTACAAGAAATGCTTTCTGAATAAGTAATAAATCACATGACATTCATTTCAAAACCAGGAATTATTTCACGTGAGAAGGGCTAATATTCAAGAGATTATTGAACTTCTGCATGTAAATGCCAAGTGTCTTCCTATTAGACAAGTACCAAGAGGGATTGGGAAGTTGTTTGCAACACCACCAGAGCATGCCTCTTGCTTATTAAGTCTGTCTTTACCTTTACTATGCTATGTTTGAGAAATACACCTAACTTGGATTTGTTTTAAATCTGAGGAAAATCTGACTCAATGAGAAATATGATTCAGAAACTCGAGTTGCTTTGAAATAAAACAAAAACAAGCAATCTCTCACTCTCTCTCTTTTTAAAGACAGCATGATGCTATCTATGTTGCCCAGGTTGGCCCTGAACTCCGGGCTAAAGTAATCTTCCAGCTTTAGTGTGACAAGGAGCTGGGACCCCAAGCACAGGACACTGTGCTCAGCTCAATATTTTGGTAGACAGTGTTTTAACTAACATTTTGCTATCAAGGTAACATAGCCAACTATGGAAGAAGCATTTCTTTTCTTCCTTTCTTACGCTTTAGCTAGCTGGTCTCAAGTTCTGGGCAACCCTGCTGCTTCAGTCTCCTGAGTACTGAGAACACAAGTATAAACTACTCTACTCAGCTATGAACAAATGTTTCTAAAAAATGCTCACTAAAAAACTGTCAAGAAAATATCATATTTTAAAATGTACCAATCTTAAGGCAAAACCACATTATTCATTAATATTGGGGTTACAGGAATAGGCAACTGAAGCTGTTTATCTTCACTATGGTGAAGTGACTCAAACACTTTCTACTGTGTATGTTCAAAACCACTGTTTGACACTGCCTGGGATAAAAGTAAATTCTAAACTTTTTATGTATATAAGACAGTTCATGTCTAACCAACCCAAACAAACAAAGGACAGCTTACCGTAATGACTCTGAGAACACCCCCTCCATCATTCACTGCCACTCTGTGTAGGTTTCTGGACACGAGGCCATGGAGATCTTGGCTTTCCCATACGATTGTACCTTCAAAGCTCTTTGGGGGGAAAATGATAGTGGATTAATTTGTTTATTCTTGCCACTTAGGTTCTGAGTATGTATGTATGTAAAACTTTAGAAAAAAATGTCACGCCCCTCCCTCCCCTGAAACACATCAGTTAAAATTTTAAGCCACAACTTGAACATTTCATTGTTAGCATGGTAGTGTATGTCCTTGATTATTTCTTCTGGACACTTCTAGAAAACAGTCACTCTGAGTTCATGGTGTTGGCAGATGCTGCCTGGCTGTTTCTGCTGTATCAATTTCCTAATGTTGCTACAACTGCTAGAGCTGTTCTTTCTCATGTGGCATAACATGCCACTTGGCTGACACTTGATTTATAACTGTTGTCTGCTGACCAAAAGGCGATTGTAATATAGGAATGTTTTGGTATAATGCCTCTTTCCCACAATATTTTAGTTAAAATAAATTCCTAGAGGGGAAATTAACGGAAAAAGCAAGGTGTGTTTATTTTGGTACAAACTATCAAATTGCTTTTGAATAGTCATTTTTATTCATTTATAAGGTCATTAAGCAAAGTCTGAGAATGCCAACTGCATTGTACTCTCTCTACTATAAAATTTAGGAAAAAGTAAAAAGTTCAAGTTAATGTGGTAGATTTTTAACATGTGACATTAATAATTACCAAGTCATGGGCTATACATTGAATATTAGAAATAGAAACAGAATAGCCGTTATCTTTAAATACTACCAACATTCAGCCACAGGCTCACAAATCAAAAACGGCATTTTGGCAAGAATTGGGGTAGATATTATGCAGAAAGAACTTCAAATTACCACAAAAGCAGAGAAGTCTTCAAGTAGTTTCGTTCAGAATTATAAGCATTTCAGAGGCTATAGCACCAGGATGAGGAGAGGCTAGGTCTAAGGTAGACCAGATGCTTCTCTGCCCACCATGGTGCTATGAACCCTGTCCTTTGCTTGGAAGTGGTGAAGACTGGAGGTTGTCAGCAGAGTGGCAGTGGCTGGTAGGGAGAGAAGAACTAGCTACATGCGGTCCTGGTGAGACTGAACAACACAGAGATTCCCAGGGAACTGCCTGTAGGTTGAGCTATAATTCCTCTTTTACAGAAAGGAAATCACATTCCAATCAGTGAGAAGAGCTTAAGAGTGAAATTTAAGTAGTGACCGTTATACCCTCCAACAATCTGCCACTGGCCACCGCACAAAAACTGAGCAGAGAGAGGAATCTTGGCAATGCAGCAATATGTAAGGGAGAAAGATTCAGGTATAGAGTACCTAGTCACATCCCTCCTGGATGAAACATCACTTCAAAATACTCATTTTTTTTTTTTTATTTCTATAATCAAATTCACTGCCAAAATCAAGAACTATTATTTCAAGTGATGTTTTTAGGGACCTTGACATACCAGGGATAATGGTCATTCAAGTCACTTGTATGAGCCAACACCGTAAAAGATGAAAGAACTGACAATGGTACACAATGTCAATCACTGGGAATCTGATCACTGCTGTGTGCTAGATGAGATGGCCTGGGTTAGTCATGCACCCATCTCAAACAACAATCTTTTGCCCTTGGTATGCTGTAATTTCTTCTAAAACTCTAACATCAGTAAAATGTGGAAGATATAAGAACACCTTAGAATTAGAATGGACAGGACTTTGGTCTAAGACCCAAGAACAAATCCCTTGATTCTAATTTAGGTGGTTTAAGAAAATCCTAGACCCAAGATTGAAAATACAGGAAATGAGCCGGGCGGTGGTGGTACACACCTTTAATCCCAGCACTCGGGAGGCAGAGCCAGGCGGATCTCTGTGAGTTAGAGGCCAGGCTGAGCTATAGAGTGAGTTCCAGGAAAGGCGCAAAGCTACACAGAAAAACCCTGTCTCAAAAAAACAAAAAAAACAAAAAAAAAAAGAAAGAAAGAAAAAGAAAAAAAAAGAGAAAAGAAAATACAGGCAATGAGAATGGTTGGGAGGAAGACAACACTACTTCAATGTCCATGATCAGCTGGCACATCTGGAGTTCACTAGAGATGTCTAGGCAGTAATGGATGAAATGATCCAGGTGTGCTAAGTAAAATAAAGCAGGTGACCAAGAGTCAAACAGGAGATATAGAGCCACACCAAAAGAAAAGGTATCTGTGAAACCTTACACCTTGAACCTACAACAGCATGGAAACAGAAGACACTATTCTCTGTTCTATCCATGCAAACGACATTTGGCATCTGGTTTGCTCTTTGCTAGTAGCTCTTCCTGGCACCCAACTCCATTTAGCTTATAACTGGTCATGATATAATTGTCAACCAGAGAAATCCACTAGTGCAAAAATCCTTGATTTCCTCTGAAGCTGTATAAAGGTAGGGCAGCAACAAGCATTCTCCCCATCCTGATCCAGGCCACAGCTAAAAGTTGCATCTCACACCTCTCATACATCTTTCTATTTTCTGTTGTAGGTTTCATAAAACCAGGAAACTCTTACGATCCACAATGACTTAAGGCAATTCTGTTTGAAGATCATAAAACTACTATGACTCAGGGAAAAAAAAGCATTGTTATAGTCTGGGAAAATAGTAAACGTCAGTACAAGCCCTTCTACATGGTAATTCTATGTATTACTTAAATTTCTCATCCATAACAACACAGGAGCTATAGTATATAAACAATAACAACTTCTTGTGAACTGGAAAAATGACTAAAGACTCACTTTTCACAAAAACGTAAGCATTAAGTGTCCACTAAACTTACAGTAATGTGCCTAGGGATTCAGCTGAAGGACAAGTCTGCTTTCTAACCAAAAGTAGTTTTAGGTTTTAACTACATTATTAAGAAAAATATATAATCAGAGAAATAACTATTTTATGATAAACACATAGCAGCTTTCACCTAAACTTGTGGCTCTCACGGAGGTTTACACTTCAGTGGGCAGGCCACAGGATGAACACTTTACAAAAGAACACAATGTGACAAGCTGTACTGCTGATGTGATACTCCAGATATCCTACAAGTGTGACAGTAATGAGATCATCTACTTCTCCTCACAGATGGATTACACCAAGGGTGACTCTCATAAGACTCTCATAAGACACAGACAAACCATCACCAAGTCCATTAGGTTCCATTAGGTTTGATGTAGGAAAAAAAAAAAAATCTATGTAACACCAGACAGATTTCAACAAAGAAAGAGCTAGCTACATGTGGTATGAAACTTAATTTCTAGATTTCTAAAGGTTTATTATTTTCTTTTTATAAAGCTAATATGCATTTACTATAGACTTTTAGAAAATAGATGAGGGAGGCAAAGGCAGGTGGATCTCTGAGTTTGAGGCCAGCCTGGTCTACAGAGCAAGTTCCAGGAGAGACAAAGCTACAGAGAGAAACCCTGTCTCGAAAAACAAAACAAAACATATATGTGTGAGAAAAATAAAAATCATCCCACATTCTCCCACATACTCACTAATAAACAATTTTATTTTTCTCAGTATTTTTCAAAAGTAATGAAATACCTAGTATATTTACCTTAAACTTAAAAGGAAGTAAGGCTCTTAGGGATGCCAGCATTAAAAGCTCCTTTCAGGCCATGCATGGTGGCACATGCCTGCAGAGGCCGATAGAATTCCATGAGATGGTAACCAGCCTACTTTGGTCTATATAGTGGCTTCCTGGGTAGCCAAGACTATACAGTGAGACCCTGTCTCAAAACAACAAAAACAACCAAACAACTCCAGGTATGGACAGTTGATTGCTTTTGTGGAGGGAGAATCAGTGTTTTCTTTAAGGGTGAGGCCACCGGTAGGCTGGGCATGCACCAGTGGATGACCCCACACTCAGGAGTGTATGGGCTGTATAAACTGTACCTTATGGTTTATCTAGAAAATAAAAAGGGGGGGGGGCTTAAATTTGGGTGATAAGAAGGTGAAGGTGGATCCTGGAACAGTTTGTGGGAGGGGTGAATATGATAAAAAATAAACAATAAATTCTCAAAGAATAAAACTATTTTTTAACTGTAAAATGTAAGGTAGCCAGAGCAGTGCTCTTTTGCTGGTGCAGACAGGGCTTCTGGTACATTTTTTAAATTAATTACTGACAAAAACAACAAACAAATCAACAAAGATCCTCCAACCACTGGCACCTCATCCCCTAACTAAATTTTTATTTTGAAAAACTACAAACCTGCAAAGAAGCTAGAGTCACCACCTGAATGCCTAGCCTCCCTAGTGCACACTTCCACAGCTAGGTCCTCTCCACACACTTCCTTGCTGTCCGTGTCCTAAAGAGAAATGCAGATGCATAATGACATAGCACTTCTCAAGAACCATGGCATTCTGAGGAAAGGAGTGCTTTTTACAGACCAAGAAAAAGTTTCTTTCTATAAGGGTGATCTAAAGTAAGGGACAGACTATAAACCTGTGATAAGCTAAAGCATTAAAACTTACCTTCTTCTTTTGGACCTCAGCCCCAGAGACTCCTCCCTCAAGAAGCTCTCAGCCCTTGTCATTTTGGACACTCACAGGCCAATCTTACAGACCAGAGTACCAGGCTTTGCAAAGTGTCCTCTGGCAGCAAGTGGAAAACTCATGGGGAATGTATACAATGACAGTACAGTACCTATAGGATGCTTGCCATATGGCAGCACATTCTAAGTGGTCCACATGTGTAAAACCAGTCATTCCCTAAAAAGCCCTCTGGACTAGCTAGTGCAGCATCTCTACCTCACAGGAGACACAGCCACACAGAGAGAACAAGTACTCCTTACAAGATTCCTTTGATACAGAATTAACATATTTAGCTGGGGTTACTGCCACACAGGCTTGCCTACAGCCCTACCTTATAGAGGCGTTTTCTTAATTGAGGGTACCTCTTCTTTGATGATTGTAGCTTGTGTCAAATTGACATAAACTTAATCAAGACACAAATGATGTTTCAACTACTTGAATTTGATGCTAAAGGACATAACACACTATAAAAATGTGTGGCTCTGCTGTTGCCCTTAACTGGAACACCACCATAAGACTAGTGCTTAATGTGCTTAAGGAGGAGGAGGAGCCGTCAGTGGTCTAGCTTTTGAATCTTAACTCAGATTTGACAGTGCAGACAAACTCAAGATAGTTTTCAATGAACCACACAGCTGTCCAACACTCTGACCCTTACACTGTGCTTTCAAAGCACTAAGTTCAGAAGTAGACTCTGAATAGGTTGAAGCTGGTAGATGGGTACTGCTCACACCTGCCTGTCACAGTCCTTCTACACTGGGGAAACCCTCAGGATGCATGAGTGCACCTGGCAGGTAAAATCGTCTCCAGCATGTAAGATTTAAGACTGCCCAAGAGCAGCCCAGAGGTGACAGACACGTTTTCAGACATCATCCACAAGTGTTCACTGTTATTAAACTTTTGTTCAACTCAAAAATATTGCCTATTTTCCTATCTGCACTGTTTTTTGTTTTTGTTTTTAATTTTTGGTACAGGGTTTCACTATGTAGCTCTACCTGTCTTGGAACTGTTACACGAATCTTAGAAGGTCTTATTAATGAAAATAAACCTGGAGCAAGGTATTGGGGTGAATGCTGGAAGATCAGAGAAGCAGAACAAGCCACAGCTACCTCACCTCGCCAGTTCCTCAGCTGATCCTGTTTCCTCAACCTGGAAGCCTCTGTGTCCTCATCTGAATGGGTCTCAGCTGAACTGCTGCTCAAAAGCCTAAAAGCTTAACCAGCCTAGTTCCCGGTTTTCATGCCTTATATACCTTTCTATTTCTGCCATCACTTCCTGGGATTAAAGGCATGTGTTACCATGCCTGGCTGTTTCCAGTGTGGACTTGAACTCACAGAGATCCAAACGGATCTCTGCCTCTGGAATGCTAGGATTAAAGCCATATATCTAGTGGCTGTTCTGTTCTCTGACCCCAGATAAGTTTATTGGGGTGCACAATATATCAACCACAGAACTCACTACGTAGACCAGGCTTGCCTCGAACTCACAGAGATCTGCCTGTTTTTATCTCCAGAGTGCTGGGATTAAAAGTGTACCCCATCATACCTAGCAATGTTGTGGGGTATTTTGATTATTTAACTTCCAAAAGATCTGTCTATTAAGACCTAATACTAAAACTCTTTGTCACTAAGAGTCACACAGTTCTCAACTTCAAGTTAACCATGGCAATAAGCACTTTTAAAAAAGCGTGGCTATGAAGTTCTGTTGGTGTAACTGCAAAATTTAGCGCAGGCTTTGTTGGTACTGGTGCCTCCCCACTGTAGAGCTGATGTGGTGTAACAAAGCACACACACCTACAAAAGCAACACTGGTCTTCACTGCAGCCATACCTCTGGTAAGATGAACTGTTCCACAGGCTTGTACCATAGCTTGTTCACCTGTATTCCACAGCTTGGAGGACTAAATCGAGCGATGAAAAGGGCCTCCTGCAAGATGGGTAGGGAAGGATGGAAAAACAATGACAGTACTTCCTGTTAGACACTGTGTGGCTTTATCAGTAAATCCACAAAGCCACCAATCATGCTCACTGTGGTTTCAACGACTTTCAGGTTTTTGCTTTTTTTTTAATCTATTTATTTTATGTTTATGGGTGTTTTGCCTGCATGTATGTCTATGCACCACATATATGCCTCGTGCACATAGAATGCAGAAGAGGTATCAGATTCCCTGAAACTGAATTTATAGATAGACAGTTGCAAGCCATTATGCAGGTGGGTGTTGGAAACCGAATTCAGATCCTCAGATCAGTAACAAGCACTAACCACTAAGCCGTCTCTCCAGCCCTATCAAGGTTTTCTAGTGCTGTTGCCATGGTCATTAAATTATTATATTATTCATTTTACAGCTCTAGGGATTCAACTGACAGCCCCTTGCATGCTAATATAGCCCACTAAACTACTAGCAGAAGCCATATAGCCCTCTTTTAAGACAATGTCTTGCTAAGTTGCTAAGATACTTTTGATCCTCCTGCTTCAGCTTCCCAAGCAGCTGGGATTATAGGCTTGAGCCATCAGGCCTGAATAAAATTATTAAGATAATTAAAGTTGCTATTAAGATCTCAAATACTGGGCTGGAGAGATGGCTCAGAGGTTAAGAACACTGACTGCTCTTCCAGAGGTCCTGAGTTCAATTCCCAGCAACCACATGGGAGCTCACAGCCATCTATAATGAGATCTGGTGCCCTCTCCTGGCGTGCAGGCATATATGGAGGCAGAATGTTGTATACATATAAATAAATAAATAAATAAATAAATAAATAAATAAATAAGATCTCAAATACTAAGTATAATTCATATAATCTTTAAAAACCTACCTTGACATAAAATGTATTAAAGGAAATGAGTTTTCACTAAATTGAACCAACCTATTGTAATAAGACCCCCATACACACCCAAGAACAAACTGAAAGTTCAATGATCTCTAAGGAAAACCAATGTGCATGGGAATCCTTCAAAAAGAACTTTCAGAAGAGAACACATACAAAACACAACAGGGAAGAGAAGAGGCCTGGCCCACAGGACGTGTACTGTTTCTTTGTGCTTTCACATTTCTTTTAGGCAAACGCTAGGTAAGTATTCTACCACTGAGCTACACTTTAGCCCTTGCAGGAAATTTTTTTTTTAAAACTTTTACCACAGTAATCCAAAGACTGCTTCAGTCCAGTAACTTGATAAAGCTATTCCCACTGAAACCATGACTGTACTGTGTTCCCTTTCTCTTAGATTTATGTCTATCAACACATTAACAAACCAGATATTCTTTTTTTAAAGATTGATTTATATACTTTATGTATATGGGTGTTTTGTCTATATGTACATTTGCACACCGGAAGAGGGCATCGGCTCCCAAAGGGTTACACTTATAGATGGTTGTGAGCTACCATGTGGGTGCTGAGAATTGAACCCGGGTTTGCTGAAGAGCAGTCAGTGCTCTTAACCACTGAGTCATCTCTCCAGCCCCAATTTTATTACTTTTTTAAGACAAAAATTTGACTATGTAGCTCTGGTTGCCTTTATACTTGTGATCTTCAAGCTCAGCTTCCCTAGTGCTGGGATCAGAGGTGTATGCCAGCATCCCTGGATGAAAAGAAAGACAACTCAAGAACACTGACTGCAGAAGAGCCAGAGGATGGGGAAGAGTACTGTGAAATGCTGTCCTCTGGACATGACATGGTGGCAGCACACAAAACTCACAGCAACAGTGGTTACAGATTCTATCGCAGAGGTGGCGGTAGGGCTGAGAAATGGCTCAGTGGTTAAGAGCACTGGCTGCTCTTCCAGAGGTCCTCAGTTCTGTTTCCAGCAACCACAAGGTGGCTCACAACCATCTATAATAGGATCTGATGCTCTCTTCTGGCATGCAGGTATATACGTAGAGCACTCATACATAAAATATACATAAATAAAAGATTCTATCATGGGAGACGGAGGAGCTGCTGAGGTCCCACCTGTGGAGCTCCTGGCAGTTGATGGTTGTGAGGAAGACTCACTTTTCTTTTGAAGTATGACCACGGGTAGGTTCCCCATGGTCCCCCAGTGGATGACCCCAAGCCCAGGTTCACATAACAGCACTTACTGGACTCAGTGGGTATAGAGAGGAAGAGACAGAGAAGGGAGGGTCTACCTATATAGCCCTGGCTGGCTTAAAGAGCTTTAGTGACTATACTGGCCTTGAACTTGTGGAAATCCTCCTACTTCAGACTCCTGAATATTGGCATTACAGTTCTGTGTTTGACCTTGTCTGACTTCAACAATCAACCAACCAACCAGCCAACAAAAACTGAAAAGAGGCTTCTAGTAATAACAGACCAATTGTTATCTACAGATAACAATGATGAACTCTGGAAAAACATAAAAAACATCTTAGCCAGATGTGATAATACCCACCTGCAATCCAACATGCAGGAGGAGGCTAAGACAGGAGAATTTCAAGTTTAAAAACAGCCTGGGCTGTCCCATCTCAAAAAACAAAAGCAGACTAGTAAGGAATAACAACAAAGATCTGAAAGAAACTGGAATTCAAACACATGCAAAACCTGGAAGAGAATCAAACCATGGAAAAAGGGAAACTGGGTCTATTCCATCTTCCCTTAGTGCTCTTTGTTGAAGAAACAACTCTACAAAAATTAAAAAAAAAAAAAAAAAATCAGAGGACACAGGTGGGATAAAAACATCAGCTACAAGGAAAACTCACAAGCAGGAAAAGTTCTCACACATACAGAGGAGGGGGAGAGAAATGGAAAGGGAGCTTTAATTTCTTCATATAGACTCCGCTCTAATCTGAGGCTGACTCATGAAACACTCATGAAACACTCATGAAGCAGAACCCAGGCAGCCCAAATAGGAACAAAAAGAGCCAAGTAGGAGTTGAACTGTTGTCCACTGCAAGGAACAATTTAGAATCTCCTCCAGACAACTTAACTGCTTGCTACTACAAAACAAGAAAAAAGGAATGGATACTCTTTGAGGGATGTAATGAGAGGTCCTGAAACAGATCATTCACAGTATCTGGTGTTACTAGTTGCTAGGCATAAAAGAAAAACCTACATCAACAGAAAAGGCAATACTACCTAGATAGTAACCCACAAGGGCTTAGAATAATCAGACAGAAGTTAAAAAACAAAAACAAAAAGTGTCAGCTAACAAAGTAATAGGTTTCCATATGGTGTTCTCATACATGTTTCACTGTGGTATATTACCGACCCTCTTAACAACTCCCTGCTCCTACTCCCACAGTAGTATTTTGCTCCCCATTGTTGTAAAATATTTCTTTATACTGTGAAGATATGTCACTGTGATTGGTTCAATAAAAAGATAAACAGCCAATAGCTAGGCAGGATTTTCAGGGCAGAGAGGACACTGGGAAGAAAGGAGGAAACTCAGAGGATGCAGAGCAAGCAGCATGGGCATTACAAAGTAAAGGTAACTGAGCCACGTTAAAGAACGTAGATTAAAAGATATGGGTTAATTTAAATTTAAAAAACTCAGGAAGCAGAAGCAGGCAGATCTCTGTGAGTTCGAGGCCAGCCTGGTCTACAGGGTGAGTTCCAGGACAGTCAGGGCTGTTATATAGAGAAACCCTGTCTTGAAAAACCAAAAAAAAAAAGAGAAAGAGAAAGAAAATCCTGTACATGCCAATACACACCTCCTGCTCTGCCTGATACAACTTGACTGTGATGTTCCTCTGAAAGCCAACGTCACTGGCATCATAAAACACTCCAAGACTGGTAATCACAATTGGGTAGAGAACTCGGAAGCTCACGCTGACAACTCGGTCTTCAGAGAGTATGGATGAGGAGGCATCTTCAGGAAAGCTGAAGGCCTCAATTTCCTGATTCAAAACTAAACAAACATTGAGAATAGTGTTTTATATCTTCAAATAAATAAAATCCAGACATCTGCATACACACATGTGCAAACACACACGTCCCATAGGGGAATACTAAATATAAGTCAGCTTCAAGGTATCTACATGGAAGGACTGGACAAACATAATAAAAACAGTACTTAGTATAGTAAAAATGATTAGGAATTTGATCTTGCTGTGCAAATTCTAAAAACACTAACTCTTATTAAGCAATTTAAAAATTTATGGTATGTAAGGAAACCACTGAAGTACAGGAGTAACTAAAATCACTTGAAACAAAGTGAGTTCCAGGAAAGGCGCAAAACTACAGAGAAACCCTGTCTCGAAAAACCAAAAAAAAAAAAAAAAAAAAATTTATAGCAGATAAGTAAGTCAAGCAGATTCTGAGCACCTACTATCTTGCTTCCTGTCACATCTACACATTACCACTTCCCTTTGTGGGAGGAGTATTAGGTCACCAGTTAAGACACTGTAACCCTAAGGGACACTTAAGTAATTGTCACCAAGTCACAAAAAGTGACAGACTCAGGAATCAGACCCAGGTTTAATGACTCACAAGTCAGTGCTCATTTTACTGGCTCATTAGTTCCCTGAACTATCCTTTTCTTTTCTTCAGTGCTGGGAACTAAACCTGGGCTTCACTCATGTTAAGCAAATACTCTACCAGAGAGTCAATAGTCCTTTCAAGTTAACTTTTTTAATTACTATAAATGAACCAGGATAGATTAGATAAGAGAATATGGCTTATTTGTCAAAACTAGTTTGAGAAATATAAAAAATGTACTTTAAAGGCAAAGTTCTCTGTAGTTTTTAGAACTATGGTTTTGAAACTGCTGATGACCCAACCACTTAAACAAGTATGTGCACACACATTTACTTATAAAGTAAACACACAGACTGTGGCCAGTCTATACATTCATATCAGGGCTCTGAGTCCTATTCACAGCTGTAGCTGCATATGCCTAGTACACACAAGGTCCTGGGGTTGATTCCTAGCACTGTGGATCTCACTGAAAATCACTGGATGCCACTCCTCTAAAGAACACAATTAATACCCAAAATTCTGCTTTGACAGAATTTACCGAAGTCACCGATATGCTAAGAAAGACAGCCCTGTTTTACAACTGAGACTCTAGAATATGGCCCAACCTTGTACATATAGGGCATTTAGGTCCCTCACTTTAGTCCCTAGAAAGCTATCTTACACTTAGATATTCAATAAAATGAAGATTAACAGGAAATGCTGCCTCTTTCTTGTTAATAGATATGAGCAAGAGGGGGCAAAAAGGGACAAATTTTGCTATGAGCGAGAGAGCACTGTCAGCATCCAGACTGGATGACAGCAAGTTTTTTTTCTTTAACATATTCACGGGGAAAAAAGGCATTCAAAGTAGAAAGAAGCATGTCTATTAAAAACAGGAGGTCAACGCATTCCTGGACTTTCTTCACCTTAACCAACTATTGTAGCTTGAGTTTTCCTGCCTGGCCCACAGTCAGGACAAATCTCTCTCACCTGCCAGTCCCACAGCCGCTCAGACCCAACCAAGTAAACACAGAGACTTATATTGGTTACAAACTGTATGGCCGTGGCAGGCTTCTTGCTAACTGTTCTTACAGCTTAAATTAATCCATTTCCATTCATCTATACCTTGCCACGTGGCTTGTGGCTTACCGGCATCTTCACATGCTGTTTCTCATCGTGGCGGCTGGCAGTGTCTCTCTCACTCAGCCTTCCACTTTCCAGCTTTATTCTCCTCCTTGTCCCACCTATACTTCCTACCTGGCCACTGGCCAATCAGTGATTTGTTTATTGACCAATCAGCAACACACTTGACATACAGACCATCCCACAGCAAACTATACCTTAAGTTCAAGCTACCTGGAACAGGAAATCTTGTTGCTTTCACAGCAGCTATTAATCAAACCTTCTAGATATGCAGCAGCAGGATTAATGTTCATGACCTTTAGATACTGAAATAACCAAAATGCTCAGGGGGTAATAAGATATACATATATTAAACAGTGCAGTTCTAAAAACTGTCTATGTATTAACTGATGAAAGTGTTCTATTAATGGAGCATCTACTCCTCCACTATCAATAAGCACTTAAGATGGTAAGTTCCAGTTAACAAGTGTTGGGGATGGGACCAGGGTTGCACACTGCTAGGCAGGCACTCTGCCAGTGAGTTCTACCTCCAGCTCTGTGTATGTTTCTGTATGTGGTTGTTTGGTTTTAAATTCTCTAAGCTACTACATTAGCAACAACACATCTGATGAGGTTCATGATCCTTTGGTTCTTGACTAAAAGTTAATGGAACCTCTCCTCAGAAGAACACAATTATATACAAAATTTTGTCTACAAAACTCTGCTTTATGACATAGACTAGAATATATGCTCAATTTGTTTAAAAAGTGGGCTGGAATCCAACCTATGAAAAAGGCAAGCTTTTTAGCACGAAGTATCTATGGAGTCCCAGGACTTATGCTAAATGTTTTTAGCATTTACTCCGCCCTTGTATTAGTCTCCATGAGGTAGGTACTTTTTTTTTTTTTTTAATTGATAGCATCACACTCTGCACATCAGGCTGACCTGGATGGAACTCAGCAGGTTGATCTCAAACTTGTGGCAATATTCCTGCCTCAGCCTCTCAAGGGCTGCAATTAAAGGCATGTGCAATTATACTCTTTATTCCTTGCTTACAGATAATGAAATGTAGACTAGGAGGCCACAGAGCTAGAATGCGGCAGAGCTGGCTTTGGAGCCACAGATCTGCTGCCCATACCTGCGTATTGTCATATTTCTAAAAGTGAGATATATGTAACTATGAAGAGCTGGTAAACTTTAAAATACCAGAATCGGCCGGGCGGTGGTGGCGCACACCTTTAATCCCAGCACTCGGGAGGCAGAGCCAGGCGGATCTCTGTGAGTTCGATGCTAGCCTGGGCTACAGAGTGAGTTCCAGGACAGGCTCCAAAGCTACACAGAGAAACCCTGTCTCGAAAAACCAAAAAAATAAAATAAAAATAAATAAATGAAGTATCAGAATCCAGACCCAGCACACCCAACAGAGATTTAGAAAGCCTCCTTTAGAACTGTAGCTAAATACAATGGGAATGCTAATAAAATGCTAGTAACAGCCTCTCTGCAAACACAAGACCTCATTAGCATCAACTTTCTGCATCCCCATCCAGATTCTCACAAACTTAAATCTAAGGAATATAAAATTATTTTTAATATTTCAAACTTTTTCCTGTTTCTTCTGCAGAAGCTTAGTCAATAGTCCATGACGTTTAACTTTTTTAAATTTCTTTTCTTTTTTTTTTTAAAGTATGTTCTTGATAATATTGCCTAGGCTGATTCCTAAACAAAAGTGATCTTCCCACTTCTAGTTCCTCAATGCTGGGATTCTAGGCCTGTGCCACATCACCTGGTTTTTAGCAATAATTCAAAATCAAAGTCAACTCACAATATTTGTATCACAGCTATTATATACTGGTAAAATCAACAATTTTCCAAAAGTTCAAAATTCAGCAATCTATGAGTAATCTAATTCTCCAGATGCACCAAGTCATACTGAAGAATACACTAGTCAGTCCTGAAATTCTTTGTCAGTAAAGAATCCCAGAGATTCCCTGAGAGACTAGTCAGTCTGTCAAAAAGGCTGGAACACAAATTTTGATGACAAACATTTAGTTGGTTAAAATAGACTCTCTCCCATAAAATTTAGCACCTCTTACTTGACAACTAACATAGACGGCAGCCTGGAGGACCACGCACCTGGATTGGTGATGTTGAGCAGTCGGCAGGAGTAAGGATCCTCCCTGTCTTCCACAGGCACTTCACAGCCACGAGCACCTATTATGAACTTCACAAGCACACTGAGAGATGGGTTGGCATTAATGTCAGGTATGGATCTTCACTTCACACATATCCATTTCCTCATGCTCATTTCAGATCTTTGAAACACTAGCATTTATGAGGGCTGTTCTCTAACCTTATTTTTCCAGCCTGCTAACTACTGAATGACTTTATATGAGCCTTCTTCTGTAATACTAAAGCAAGTGTAAATGTCTGGCCTGCTACCAGCAAATGTTCAATGCCAGCGAGCAACAGATCACAATAATATCAACTTCTCAGAAACAGCACTTTTCCTTTTCTCTTGCTGGACTAGTATTTATGTAAAAGGAGGCCATGCAGCTCCCAAACCTTATGTCACTGGTTACCTTGTGACCTGTTACCCAGGGTTTTATCCTTCATCTCTTCTTTGTCCGCTCATCTTCTTACTCCCTGTCCTCTGACAACACTAATTTATTCCTATGGCTATAACTGGTACAAGAAGGATTCTTGAACTAGCACATCAAGTGTCGACTCATCCTTAGAGTAATTGTCTAGATTACCCACAGGGAGTTGAGTTCTGAAGTGCTGGCTTAGGAGAGCTAGTTGTCAAATTTTCAGGAACTTTGTAAATGGTTAAGTACAGTCTTTATTAAATTACAGACAAATATATTTAAAACATGGGAATCCTCAAGTTCCCCATACTTTTGTTTGATGGAATATGTTCATGGTATGTATCTTTTCACAGTTCTACACCCAGTTTTGTCACAGCAGTTGCTTGAAATTGGCCTTGGTGAAAATAAGTGGGTCCCTTGGAACTGGAGTTACACACAGTTGAGCTGCCATGTTGGTGCTGGTAACTGAACCTGGGTTCTCTGGAAAAGCAGGTAGGTAGGTTCTGACTGAGCCACATCTCCAGCCTTAAGTCTTATTCTTTAACTTAAAATATTTACCTCAGAGCTATATGCCTTTGCTGATTCCAGCCATAAGTTCATTACAGATCTAATGTCCTGGCAAAACAGAAGCATTCTATGACAATTAGCTGGCCAAATAGAATTTACTAATTTGACAGAGTACTGCATGAATGTTATTACCTATCAATTATGCACTACAATTCTTTATATCAATAAAATTATGATAAATCTATGTACACATAAGCACCCTTTTTCTACAGAGAGCCATTCAACAGACATTTAGAGAGGACACCACAGCCTGTGGGCCCCTGAGCTCAAACACATCCTCAGCTGAGCTTTCTTCTCTTCCCATCCAGTCCTCAGCACCTGACTGAAGACTTCACAGCTCTCCTATTCAGACAGCTGGCAGTCACCGACATACCTCCTGTTCTTTCTGCATCCTCTGATGAGATCACCACTAAGGAGTCACACTCCTCAGCAGTTCTTGTCTCAGCAAGTCAGCTTCCACACAACTGCTTGCCAAGAGCAAACAGTCCACTGCTGACCTCACAGCCACAGGCCTTTCTCCTTCCCCATCTCTTAGTCTTCTCTTTCTCCTTCCTTCCCAGGCTTCCCCTCTGCTCTAACACTCACCTTCAACAACTCCCCAGTTACATGACTTGTGTTTCTCAAGCACCCCAGGCTATTTAAAAAAGACTGATTTTATCATGTTCTCTGTGTGTGTGTTCTGATGAAGGTGCAGGGATCAGAACTCAGGTTTCTCTGGAAGAGCAGCAAGTATTCTTAACTATTGAGCCAGCCAGGCTATTTCACATGTCTCTCCATGGTAGCACATACGGCACTATCACACCTAGTTTCATCTACTAAACTTTAAGGCTCCTAGGCTCCAGCTCTATTGTACCGTTGTGTTTTAACACACATAGTGCATGACCTGCTTAGAACAATAAATACATTAAAGTGACAAGTTACAGTCTATTACAGAGGCTTAGAATCAAACACAGTTCTCATAAATAACACTGAGTTTGACTCCTTTGGTAAAACACAAGATATAAAAGAATGTCATAACCACAGAATGCATCAGCTTTTACTACTGGCCAGCTAGGCAGAACACCTTACCTTATGTAGACAATTAGCATTTGTAATTAAGACAAACATGAGTGAGTATGCTAACTAAATTATACATGCTCACCATTTTTTTTTTTTAGCTAGCTTAAATAACCTTACTAAATCCACATAACTATTATGCCCTAGAAAGGTATTTTTGGGCTTTCAATCTGTTTTTATATAGACAATCCATTTCTTCAGAAAACAAACACAAGCTTACTACATTTAAATAACTGCTACAAAAGCAAATGAATTACCGGTTTAAATTATATTGATTCTATTTAGATCTGAGGTATTCATTCAACAGTTGTTGAGTACCTCACTCTTGGTCAGGCCAGGTTCTAGATACTGCAATTCTATCAGTGGGAAAAAAAAAAAAAAAGAACCTACCTCCTAGTGGGGAATGAATAACTTACAAATGTATTACATGTGCCAGTTGGTAATACATGTAATAGTAAAGTCAAGCAAGGGCAGACAGTGGTGAAGAAGTAGAGTGCTATTTAATCTGAGACTGTCTGCTAGGGTAACAGCGACCAGAGACCTGAAGGAATGCTTCCATGAAGACACGTAGTAAAAGGGTGGTCTAAGCAAGAGCAAAGGCTCTTAAGTAGAAGCTTGTATAATGTACCTCATGGAGGGGACGGGGGGTGGGGGTGGGGGGTGGACGCGGAAAGACTATATCATATGTTTTTCTCACATGCAGAACCGAGAGAGAGAGAGAGAGAGAGAGAGAGAGAGAGAGAGAGAGAGAGAGAGAGAGAGAGAGAGATGAAAGCAAAAGGATGGACTCTTTTGGGAAGAACTAATCATAGGAAGGATGAGAGGGTGAGGGTAAGTATGAGCAAAGTACAATGGCAAACTTTTGGAAATGGTGTAATGATGAAAACCACCATTATTTTGTATGCATTTAAAAAAAAAATCAATCCTGGGGTGTGGAGGCCCAAATTACTCAGGGTCTGAGAATCTGACCTTGCTTTACCCAATAGGGCTGCATAAGGGGATGATCTGACCATGGGCATGATTAAAAGGTGTTTGGAAGGGTCTATACTTGGCTGTGCAGTGTGTTTTGATCTAGCAAGGGGGAGGTCTTTTGCCCCGCCCCTTGGCATTGTTATAAAAAGCCCTTTTGAAGAGGCAGAAGGGGCCGTATTGACCCAGGTTCTTCCAAAGCTGTCCTGTGTTTCTGTCTTTCTCTTCTTCACTATCCTTCTACCTAATATTTCTTATCTCTCTCTTCTCACAGGAACCCTGGAAAAAGTGGGAGCTGGCCTCCCACACTGGGACATGAGGGAAACACAGTAAAATTACTTACATAGAGAAGGTGATGGAGACAAGGTCAATGACTACTATGATTTGGGATTTACTTACATAGAGAAGGTGATGGAGACAAGGTCAATGACTACTATGATTTGGGATTTACTTACATAGAGAAGGTGATGGAGACAAGGTCAATGACTACTATGATTTGGGATTTTTATTTTATTGTATTTCTTTATTTAGAGACAAGTGTCATGTAGCCAAGACTGGCCTCAAACTCAGCATACAGCCGAGGATCACCTTAAGCTCCTGTCTATGCCTGACAGGATTTCATTCTAAGAAAGAAAAGACAATAGACACAGTCACACGTGCATTCACGCACACACATACACACACAAGCATCAGGGGAGAGGTATGAATAGAGAATTAACAAAATTTGACTAATCTTAAGAGGATCATTTTGGTCTGGCAGCTAGATGGAAAATATAATGTGGAATATGACTAAGATAAAAGCAAGCAATCCATATAGGGGAACTTCTACAATAATCCAAGTGACAGGAAAAGGTAGTATAGGTAAGGAAGGCAGTGGTAAAAGGATTGAGAAGTCTGGTTTTGGGTATAACCTAAAAGCTGCACCAAGAATATGTGAACAGTTGGCGTGGGAAGTAAAAGCAAGGAAAAGCAATATAACACCATGAATTTGGTCTGAGCAGTTGGTAGCAAGTTCTTTTTTTTTTCTTTTTTTTTTTTTTTTTGAGACAGGGTTTCTCTGTGTAACAGTCCTAGCTGTACTGGAACTCACTGTGTAGACCAGGCTGGCTTCAAACTCACAGAGATCCACCTGCCTCTGCCTCCTGAGTGCTGGGATTAAAGGCATGCGCCACCACTACCCCCCGGCTGGTGGCAAGTTCTTATTGGACACGACAGCAAAGACCTACTGAAATTCAAGCTCTGGAGGTGATTCTAGGGCCATTCCTTGTTAGGTACAGGATTTATTATTGCAGTCATGTACTAAGGAAACCTACCAGGAAGAAGAATGGAAGCTGTCACAAGGAAGATAGGAAATCTATACATGTTCACTGTCGGTGACAAGAAAATTCCCAACTGCAATTTACCTCAACAGCCAACCAAGAAAGTGACAGTTTACTACAACCCCAAGAGGACTTTCTCTGCTACTGTCCCAGTGTTTTCCCATCCTAGGCAGCTCAGCCCCATGCCTCTCTCCTCAGCTCCTCACTGCAGTCTTAGATGCTCATATTGAGAAGGACTCATGTCCTCAGTATGACTGCGATAATAAATCCCATTACGTTGCAAGGGAAAGGCCTCAGAATCACCTCCAGAACTCGAGTTCCAGTAGTCTTTCCCATCATGCCCAATACAAACTTTCATCAACTGCTCAGAGCAAAATCATGGTGCTATGTTGGTTTCCCCTGCTTTCACTTCCCACACCAACCATCCCTGACCGGGCCAACAACTATCAACAGGAGAGGCAGTGCAAAGCCCAGTTCTGGGAGGAAAGACTATGGCATGACACGCACACCGTGCATTCTACCACTAAAAATACTACACAACTGACAAAAGTGAGGTTACTGAAAATACTCTAGGATGGCAACCCAAGAAGATACTCTTTCAAGTGCTTTCGGGCTTAAAACCTTGATAAAACTTAGCTGGGCGTGGTGGTGCACTCCTTTAATCCCAGCACTTGGGAGGCAGAGGCAGAGGCAGAGGGAGGATTTCTGAGTTCTAGGCCAGACTAGTCTACAAAGAGTTCCAGGATGGCCAGGACTGTTAAATAGAGAAACCCTGTCTCAAAACAAACAAACAAAAAAATCTTGATAAAACTTACTTCTAAGACTCAAGGAAGTGGCCATTTCTCCCCAAAGAACCATGCTTCTAAATCAGTCTCTCTTTTTAAAAAAGATTTTACATGTGTAAGTGTTTTGTCTACATGTATGTCTGTGCACCACATGTGTGCAGTGCCCAGAGGTCAGAAAGGAAATTAGATCCCCTGGAACGAGAGTTACAGACAGTTGTGAGCCACCAAGTGGGTAATGAGAATTGAACCTAGATTCTCAGCCAGTGTTCTTAACCACCAAACCATCTCTCTAGCCCCAATATCTGACTTTTAAAACTAAGGGGTCTTTTTTGTTTGTTTTTTCAAACAGGTAAAGGAGTAATTCAGAAAACCTACCGGTGACTTAAAGTAGGATGTTGCAGCAAATGCTTCAGCCAGGTGTTTCTAATCACATTTCGAAGTTCATGGTTATTTCGAGCTGATAACACACCAACTACCACATCATAGTGACTAAATTTCCACTGAGGAAATAAGGCTGATTGACCTATAAATAAGCAACATAGATTGCAAGTCAGTCACAACATCTCAACTACACTAAACTCAGTATATTTTATAAAAAGTTTATTACAAATAAAACATGCTTATGCTTCTAAAACATACAGATAAATAGAAACAATTAAAAAAAAACATGCCGGGCAGTGGTGGCGCACGCCTTTAATCCCAGCACTCGGGAGGCAGAGCCAGGCGGATCTCTGTGAGTTCGAGGCCAGCCTGGTCTCCAAAGCGAGTTCCAGGAAAGGCACAAAGCTACACAGAGAAACCCTGTCTCGAAAAACCAAAAAAAAAAAAAAAAACATAAACCCCGCATCCAGAAATATGTACAGCATACTGGCATACAGGCTTTTGGTATCTCATATGTATGTATGCATCTATATGTATCTATGCTAACATAAGAAGGATTTTCAAAACAAAGAAGTTTATAATAAGAAGCTGGGCGGTGGTGGTACATGCTTTTAATCCCAGTACTCAGGAAGTAGAGCCAAGCGGATCTCAGTGAGTTTGAGGCCAGCCTGCTCTACAAAGTGAGTTCCAGGACAGGCACCAAAACTACACAGAGAAACCCTGTCTTGAAAAAACAAACAAAACAAAACAAAACAAAAAAAGAATCACCCGTGAAAGCCAATATGGCATAAACAACAAATAGTAGGCAGTAAGAAAGTCAATTAGGCCACAGTCAGCATCCTGGATCCTTCACATATTTACTATGAGAATGTTTGGGTTTTTTTTTTGTTGTTGTTGTTTGTGATGGTTTGAAAGAAAATGCCCCCCAAAGGGAGTGGCACTATTAGGAGATGTGACTTTGTTGGAGTATGGCCTTGTTAGAGAAACTGTGTCACTGTGGGGGGCAGGCTTTGAGTTCTCATGTATGTTCAAGATACCGCCCAGTTCTCAGACCACTTCCTGCTGCCCGAAAGGTAACGGACTCTCAGCTACTCCTCTAGCACCATGGCTGCCCACTAGCCACCATGTCCCACAATAATGATAATGGACTGAACCTCTGAACTGTAACTCACCCCAATTAAATGTTTTCCGAGTTACCCTGGTCATGGTGTCTCTTCACAGCAATAAAAACCCTAAGACACTGTTGTTGTGTTTTGAGACAGGGTTCTAACATGTAATCCAGACTGGTATTTCAACTCCTTCATAGGTGAAGACTGGCTCTGAACTTTCAATCCTTCTACTTTCATGGCCCCAATACTGGGATAACAGGCATGAACAACCATACCTGGCTGAGTCTAAGTTATATGATCTTGCGTGTCAGTTTTTCTTAAACATAAAATGACTACATTACTTCTCATAAATATGCCAGACATTATCACTGCATACACACACACACAGACACACACTTCTATAGCCAGCTAAAACTTGTTACAAACCAAATGTTCTAAAGAATGAAGTAGCAGAAGCAACATTTTTAGTAAAAAAATAAAAAAGTCCTTTAACAAATTATGTATACAGCTCACTTTTTTTTGTTTTGTTTTGTTTTTTTAAGACAGGGTTTCTCTGTGTAGTTTTGGTGCCTGTACTGGATCTCGCTCTGTAGACCAGGCTGGCCTCCAACTCAGAAATCTGCCTGGCTCAGCCTACTGAGTGCTGGGATTAAAGGCATGCGCCACCACTGCCCAGCTACAGCTCACTTTTTACTGTTGTACGATCTAATGGGCAGGATTCTATTTTACTTAAAAAAAAAAAAAAAAAAAACCTCATTCTTAGAAATATGACAGAAGAGAGGCTATGTCTTTCTTTTTACTGCTAGTTTTTAAGCTTAAGAGCTACAAGCTTATACAGAGCTCTAAAAAGGATTCCATTTCATCTTTCTCCAGTGGTGGGAACTGATTCAAAACATTTTTAAAAGTAAATTACTGAGAGCCAGGGATCTCACTATATTAAATGCAATGTTTTCATATGTTGTAGGTGCTAAGTAGTCAGTCTAAAATGCAACAGAAACATGTTGATGCCTTTTCAAAAAGACTTTCTTTCACTTTATATACTCATCACAGTTACATGGTACAAGCATGAAAACATAGCTTTGATTCCAGTATACAGAAGCACGAGGGGAGGGCGGCTAAGACATAAGCACTAAAGGACAAGTCGTGAAAGAAGGCAGCAACCTCTGGAGGGAACAAAAGCCCAACTTCACTAGAAATCAAGTTTGAATTACAGCAACTACACACTAGATTTCTTCTACATTTGAACTGACGGATTTCTTATATGGTAAAAATCAAATGATAGGTACTTCAAGAGAATGCTGACAATGGTCTCAAGATAATAGCTAGTCTGCTTCACTGCTGGTGGGACTGTAACCTGCAAGTCTTTTACAGAGCATACTGGAGTCAGACTTGCTTTTAATCTCAGCACTAGGGAGGCAGAAGCAGGTGGATCTCTATGAGATTGAGGCCCGTCTGGTCTACATAGTGAGTTCCTGAACAGCCAGGGAGAGCAACTGTCTCAAAACAAAATAAAACAACCCCTCAAAAACAAACTCAGGGCACACTTCGAATATACATTCAACACTTTAGGAAGATAGGAATTTTGCTGATATTTCATTCCTCAAATGCTGTCCATCTTGATTTTTGAGATAGGCTCTTCACTGATCCATCTAGGCTGGTAGCCTTGTAAGCCCCAGGATCCTCTCTTTACTTCCTCAGTGCTGGGGTTACAACTGTGTACCATCATGCCTGGCTGAGATCCACTTCAGATCCTCATGCTTGTTGTAACACAAGCATTTTACCAACTGAGCTAGATCCCAACCCCATAGTTTTCCTTTTTTTTTTTGTTTTGTTTTTTTGTTTTTTTGTTTTTCTAGACAGGGTTTCTCTGTGCAGCTTTGCGCCTTTCCTGGGACTCACTTGGTAGCCCAGGCTGGCCTCGAACTCACAGAGATCCGCCTGGCTCTGCCTCCCGAGTGCTGGGATTAAAGGCGTGCGCCACCACCGCCCGGCCAGTTTTCCTTTTTAAAATTAACATGATTCAGAGTGCTCAGCTTGTAAAAATGTATCAGCCTGCACAGTCACATGCCTGAAAAGAATGTGTATGAAACATCAAAAACATTTTCAAAATACATTTTCAAAACAGGTATTATATTGAAAATAATCTAGTATGAAACATCAAAAACATTTTCCAAATAAAATTTTCAAAACATGTATTATATTGAAAATAATCTAGAAGTACAGATCATGTTTCTTTCCTTTCATTTAAAAACAATTTCAACTTTTTCTCCACAGAACTTGTTCCCCTTTATGAAAGAAATATATTTAAATTATTAGGTCCTCATGGCACATAAGCAGATGATATAGGCAGAAAATTAATATCTTCTCAGTTTTATTCTCTTGATTCACTCATTCAAACTGAGCATTTCTTATGTCTGCCTGCGCTAATTGGCACAGGCCCACAGGGAACAAGATCTCCACAATGACAGGAATAACTCACAGCCCCAAGCAAGCGCCCCAAGAGCAATGACTACTTATATTAATAAGTAATCCATCCTGAGTCTGGCAACCTGCTGGGCTTTGCAATGACTGTGGACATTAAAGTCTAAGGGATGCTGACCTCGAACATGATTGTTCAAAATAAGCCTAAGAACTCATAAGAAAAACAAACAACAGACAGACAAACTCATATGTATGCTCTTGGATGGCATCCATCACAATCAGGCAGAAATCTTGAAAATGAGGAAAACATAAGAGCCCATCACAGATCAATTATGAAATAGTCACTGCATCACTACAGTGTGCTCTTGCCAGCTTCAATGAACCATACTGGCATAGGCTTTAGCCACCTCCCTACTACCAATACTCTCGTAAATTCCTGGAGGGTTTACAGTGACTCGGCACCTCTGAGTGTTTTGCTGAACAAATCTTTGTAGATCACCAGTTTATAAACATGGAAACTGAAGCCCTAAGATATAGCACAGAGAGATAATTCTGGAAGAACCAGCCCTAGGCAAAAAACTGGGCATCAAGCTCAATTTGTCTTTGAACTGCTTGCCCTGTCTGTCTCCAAACATGCTGGACCCAGGCATCCAGCCCTATACCTAGTTCAAGCTTGTACTTGGTGATAAGTTCCTCTTCTTTCCAACTCTGGCTTCCTTCTTTCCAGCTATTTTACAAAGAGAAGCCTTTTCTCGGTCACATCATCTTTCTGCATTAACCATTGTATAATTCTTGTAAGGCACTGTCCACAACCAGTACACAGTGATCAAGTCAGTTTCTATCCCCTGGTCCAAAGGCTGTATTTTCCTCTCTCCTCTGTCCCTCTGGTGTGCTGCTACATTTCACAAGAGACCTTCTTCATCACCAGTGCTGTTTAAAGCCACTACATTAGAAAAGTTGCTAATCTTAGTACTAGCATGACTTACTCACTTCCCTCAGGTCCTTCCTCAACTCTCACCTCTTCACAGTGGCCTTCCTTCATCTGTTTGTCCTCTTAGAAACTGCTTCATTTTCCCTTCCTCATACTCACCATCCTCGGGACATTTACATTTATAGTCTTAGGCTGTCTTCCCTTTCAAATGATTAACACCTGGAGGGCAGGCACTTTATTTTGATTATTTGCTAGTTCCAAACTACAAAAGGAGATGGCCCAGCAACTCTCTACTGTTTGCTGAACCAACTGTTAGCCAAGAGGGCTTTCCTAATACTCAGTGAAGGTAAATTAATCTTTCAAGAAATTACTGGGCTTTGAAACAGTTCAGCAGGTCAAAGGACTTGCCCCCGGTCTGATGATGTTCAGACCTTAGTACAAATCTTAGTAAAATCTCAGGTTTTAGGCTTAATGGATAGGATCAAAATGTAAAGATATGCCCAAATGTTTTAAATATTTCAACAGCAAAATAGGAAAAAGACCTGTGGGAAATGTTTGCAATCAAACTACTCCTGTTTTTGTTTTTGAAGTGCCAAGGGAGGAGCGTGGGATAGGAATCTGGCTTTATAATGAAACATTATCTGACAAAGCTCCAGAATCAAAACAAAATTAATTTTTACAACTAGTATGACCCTATATGACTCTACATGCTTCTTTAATCTAGTCTAGTCTAAATGGATAAGTACTAAACCATCATCCAAACATTAAAAGGATAGAAAAAATCTGTTTCAAACCCCAAAAATTGCTCGCAGGCTTACTGAAATACAAACTCGAAGGCAAGGTTTATTATGTTGAACCCCAAAAGACTGCTAATGTTAGGATCATATATAATCTTCACTGGATCTGCAAGTAGATTCCAGCAACTCACTTATCTATTTAAGAGAAAGAAACCTAAAAAACAGGACCCCAACAGATCTTAGGTTGCAAAGTATTTTGCATGTATGACACTTTTCTCAAATAGTTTGTAAAAGCCCCACATGTTTAGCAAGCTAAATACACATATAATGGTGTACTTTCATTACACCATTTAAGTGGTTAATTCTTTTCAGTCACACAAAAAACCTTTCCAAAAGCTGGTGGTTTCTCTAATAGGAAAAGAGATCATTACTAAAATAACTCCAGTGTAATCTGGTAACAGCTGGGGAGTTTTGAGGATTGCTAAATACGGTATAAGACTCAGCCCTGTGCTGTCAAGGCCTGTTTTTATAAACTTTCCAAGAAGAAAACAGCTGTTTGGATATGAAGTGGTAAGAGAACTCCTAATGTAGTTTTAAAAAAAATAAATAATAAAACAAGCATTACTCTATTTTAAAAATAGCCATCTAGGTCTCTTTATATAAGCTCTCTGGGAAAAACTTGAAAAAGACACACGAGACCCTAAGGTAGTGTTCAGGGCGGTGGGACAACACTGAGCGAATGAGACAAAGACTTCATCCCCACGAGGGATGAAGTTTAGGAACAACTGGGCCGGCGAGTTCAAGAATCCGGTATTCCCGGGCTCCTTTATTAGCAAGCTACCCAAGCAGAACCGCAGGGACGACTCCACTCACAGCTGCGCCCTAGTTCACGTCTAGATGTGTTTCACTGGCTCACCTCATGCTCAGAGAACACAAAGTACAGTCAGTCCCTCCTCACACTGCCAAGTGAGTCCTGACACGCACAAGGCAGCACCGTCGTCAGCACCGGCGCGCTCGCGGCCCCCCTCGGAGAGAAGACCCCCCACCCCCATCCCCAAGTTGTGACCAAGGCCCTCGGGCACGGCGTGGGCCGCCGAGCACACGCTGAGAAGAAACGCACAGTCGAGTTCGCCCGACGCCGATGAAAAGACGCGTTTGTTCAGGCTGTCCCGGGACGTCCGCACCTGCCCCGTGGCCCTCCGACCATCCCCGCCGCCTCCCACGCGCGCAGCGGCCGAGCCCCGCACCTCACCTGCCGCGCCGGGCCCGGAGGCGCGGGGGGCCGGCGGGGAGCGCAGCCAGAGGTGCCAGAGGTGCAGCGCGGCCCCGAGCACGCACGGGCACAGCAGCACCAGCCAGTTTCGCATTGGCCGCCCCCGCCCGCACCACCTCGCGCCCCCGCCGCGCGCCGCTCTCTCCCGCGTCCCGGACGAGAGCGAGGGGACCTAAGAGCACCGAGAGCCACCGGCAGGGCTCGCGCTCGAGCTCGAGCTCGCGCCCGCACCCGCGCCGCGCCCGCACCCGGCGCTGTGTCCTCAGCTCGCGCCTCAGGTCCGGACCGCCAGCGGCAGCGGCTCCGCGGCCGAAGCCCCGCCCCCGCGCGCGCGCGGCCTTCCCACCCGTTCCGCCCTCCTCGCTCTCGCCCCGCCCTTTAGTCCGCGTCCCCGCACCGCCCGTCTGCGGGATAGCCGGGAGCTGTAGTCCCGCGCTGAGCCCAGGCGGGAGACGTGCCCGACACTCCAAACCCTAGAAACTACATTTCCCGTGGTGCTGTGCGCGCTCCAGTACAAGACGCTGGCAGAGGCGAAGCGCACACAGAGCACGCGTGTCTCTCCTCGGGCCGCTGTTCCTTGGAGGCACACGGAGCATGCGTAGCCGTCCTCATGCTCCCGGGTGCTCCCGGGTGTTTGAGCCAGGCACTGTGCATACGGAACCCGCACTTCTCTGCCGGAGTTGCTGTCCGATCCCCTCAGTTGTGGGCAACGCTGTAGGGTGCACGACTTTCGAGGAGCTGTTGCCCAGCCCGGAAAGGTTTGCAGGGCGCGTTATCGCTGAGCGAGATAATGGTGCGCTACCCCGACAGACCCCCTTAAGGAGGGCGGCGGGGAGTACCCGGCTGGCCTCCAATTAGCAACGCCCGGTGAGAAGGCAGGGAAGCCCCGGGCCTCGCTATGGAAAGTGAGGGCGGAGGAGAACCCCGGACCTGGAGTCTGCTGCCACCCTGGTCCTGGACATCCGCGCGCTCCTCACGAGGATAGCTGTCGGAAGGACTAGAATGAGAGTAGCGGCTACCGGGTGACTTGCAAAGTTCCCACAAGTTGAAGAAGCCTAAGATACGATGACCAAATGTGTGAGCGGGCTGGGTTTCCAAAAGATCCACCTCCAGCCGTCTTTAGGAAAAGAACAAACTTCACTGGAGCCACCTCTGACTCAGCCCCGTAGTGCCACTCAGTAGGCTTGGAATCAGAAAGGCAATTGCGTCGTCGTCCCCCACCCCATAGTTGGTTGAAACTACACAGCCGAGGATGACCTTGAACTGTTGAACCTTCGGTCTTCACTTTGAAAGTGCACAGATTACAAGCCTGCGCCACCACATTTTATGCAGTGCTTTGGGATGAAACCCAGGGTTTATTAATCCGTATTAGGCGAGCAGTCTCCCAACTAAACTACATCCTCAGGCCGTCACTATGTTAAGATTGACTTTTGTTTTGTTGAGATTTGCGTGTGTTTACGGGGTCAGGGAGGCCTATCTTGTCCCCTGAAGCTGGAGTTTCATGTGGTTGTGAGCCACGTCATTAGCATGCCGGAAACAATTTGGGTCCAATGGAAGAGCAGCAAGGGTTCTTAACCACTGAGCCATTGCTTTTTCTTCGGGTATTTTTGCAATGTTTTCGGTTTTTTTAATTTGAAATTTTTATTTGGTTTAATCATGTAAAAGCTGTATTCTACTGTTGTATTACTTAATAAAATAAAAATTTAACACACAAATTTTGTTTCCATTAGAAGAAATTTGTTTTAGCTGGGAATGAAGCTCAATGGTAGAACACTGGTCTACCAGTGGGCAGTCTTGGGTTGATGCCCAACACTGAATAGAAAAGGGAGGGGACTTCTATATTTGTTAACCATTACAGATCCAGAATACTTAAAACAATAGTAATCATTTACTATCTCAAACTTTGCTACAGGTCAGGAATTTGGGAGTGAAGTTCTGGTTCAAGTTCTCAAAGTTGCAGGTAGATGTCAACCATGGCTGAAGTCATCTGAAGGCATGATGGTGGTTTAAGAGTCCAAATTCTACATTGCTTACTTGGATGGCAGACACTTTCATGAAGACACATTCTGTCACCTCTGGGTTAGTAAATTGGTCACACAGACTCTGTAGAGTGAATTCCGGTATGCAAAATATTCAGGTATTCACTACAGAGTGACTACCAGGAGGCAAGGACCATTGGAAACCATCTTAGACACTGACTAAGACAGCATGTCCTGAAAATTTGAGTGAACAATAGTGTCTCAACACACTGGGGTAACTTTTAGACCCCTACATAGAAGAGCTCTGAAGGCAGGAAAGAACATGTTTTTCCTTTTTAAAGGAAACAGAATTTAAAAATCAAGCATATGGCTGTTTGGCAGATGTTACCAATTTCTATATACTCCTTCCCCAGATATGTGTACACAATGCAATAAGGGAGAATAATTTCCACAAATTTCGTTTAAGATTTATTTTTTAATTATGTGTATGTGTGTCTGTGTGAGGGAATGTGTCCATAAGTACAAGTGTCTTTGGAGGCTAGAAGAGGGCACCTGACTCCCTGTGGTGGATTATAGGTGGTGTGAGCTGCCATGTGGGTGCTGGGACCTGAACTCGGGTCCTCTGCAAGAGTAGCACAGACTCTTAACCACTGAGCCATTTCTCCAGCCCCTCTAAAAATTTCTTAGTAGAAATTTCTCTATTTAAAAACTGTGATGGTCGCTGGGCGGTGGTGGCGCACGCCTTTAATCCCAGCACTCGGGAGGCAGAGCCAGGCAGATCTCTGTGAGTTCGAGGCCAGCCTGGGCTACCAAGTGAGTTCCAGGAAAGGCGCAAAGTTACACAGAGAAACCCTGTCTCGGAAAAAAAAAAAAAAAAAAAAAAAAACTGTGATGGGGGTTAGAGAGATGGCTCAATGGTTAAAAGCAATTGTTGCTCTTGCAGGGGATCCATGTTTGGTTTCCAGCACCACGTGGCAGCTCACAACCACCTTAACAGCAGTTGTAGGGGATCTGCTGCCCTCTTCTGACCTGAAGGCACCAGGCAGGCGGGTGGTTCACATTCATACATGCAGGGAAAACACTCATACCCATAAAATAAATCTTTAAAAACTATGCTAACTTAGTTTTTATATTTCTGTTAGAGAAGTTGTCATGTGAGCAATAATTGGTTGTCAGCAAGAGTGTTTAATGAGAGTCTCAGTGGTGTGTGTGTGTGTGTGTGTGTGTGTGTGTGTGTGTGTATCAATTTATTAAGGGGTTCTATGGGAAAAACAGACTCAACTGATACAGGATAAGGTAAATCCAGTTGCAGAGTCCTTGGAAAGCTGGGGACCAATCACATGCAGGTTCACACCATCTGATTCAGTCTTCACCCAAAAGAGCCTGACCCCCTTTCTCCCCACCACCTCTATAAGGCAAGATAGCCAAAGGTCATGGGCAGAGCGAATTCCCACTTCAAGGGTGTGTGTGTGTGTGTGTGTGTGTGTGTGTGTGTGTATGTCCTTAAGAAAAGTAGTAATGGCCTTTTGATATCCATACATTTTCATTTTGTGAATAAAGAATTAGATCTAGGCACATGTTTGTAATAGCACTGAGGAGGTTGAGGCAGGAGAGTCATGAATTCAAAGTCAGTCTGAAAAAAACAAGATAATGAGCTCCCAAAAAAGGAATTCTTACTTTGGCAAATCTATTCATTTAATGTATATTTACTCAGCACCTACTATGTGCCAGGTGCTTCCAAAGGTATTTTTCTATACACAATTAACTGAAGCAGAGCCTTGTCAGATGATATTGGTGAAGGACAGACTATAAATGTAATCAATAGACTTGGCCAGCATGTTAGAAGACCTTCAGTGATATATATATATATAAAAAAGGTAAAGCCAAGTAAAGGAATTCTGTTAGACTGAACTGAAATAGGGCAGAAAGCATTATACAATAGTATTTAAACAACTTGGTTATAATGAACACTATAGTAGCCACCAAAACCATCCTAATGGAACTGAAGAAACAAAGTCTTAAAAACCTAATGAGCACATAATCAATCTGTACTGTCAAGGTGTTCATCATTTCATGACATGAACAAGTTAGTAGGGGATTAGATTTATGTAAATGCAAACTAGATGCCTGGTTCTTCGATTGTCATTGACCAGTGTCTAGGAACTGACTGCCCAGGGTGCTGTGGCAGCACGAAACAACAGATATTTAACTTAGCCCTAGGCTCACTAGAGGGGGTATCCCTGGGGGAAAAACAACAGTAGAGTAAAGAAATCAAAGAGTATAATTAACAAGGACAGGAAGTGACAATCAAGGACACTATTAAGTAAAAAATAAACAACAAAATCCCAAGACAGTGATAGATGTCTGCTAGGGAGATTTAAACAGCTTGGTACAACCTTAGTGCAAATAGAATAGGCAGATGCCAGATCACATACTATGCTAAGGATTCTACACTTTTTAAACAGGTATGTTTTGTTTTTGTGTGTGTGTGTGTGTAGTGGTTTGAATGAAAATAGTGCATACGCCAGGTGGCAGTGGTGCACGACTTTAATCCCAGCACTCAGGAGGCAGAGGCAGGTAGATCTCTGTGAGTTCAAGGCCAGCCTCATCTACAGAGTGAGATTCAGGACAGGCACCAAAACTACACAGAGAAACCCTGTCTCGAAAAACCAAAAAAAAAAAAAAAAAGGAGTGCCTAAAGAGTGGCACTATTAGGAGGTGTGGCCTTGGAGTGGGTGTGGCTTTGTTGGAGGAAGTATGTCACTAGGGGGTGGGATTTGAGGTCTAAGTTGCCCAAACACGACCAGTGTATCACAGTCATTTCCTGCTGCCTGTGGATCCAGATATAGAACTCCCAGCTACCTCTCCAGCACCATGTCTGCCTTCATGCTACCATACTTCCCACCATGGCAATAATGGACTAAACTTATGTACCTGTAAGCCAGCCCCAAATAAATGTTTTCCTGTATAAGAGATGTGTGGTCATGACATCTCTTTACAGCACAAAACTCTAACTATGAGAGTATGTATGTTTGTGTGTGATTGTATGTGTGTGGGGGGGTGCCTGTAAAGGCCAGAGGAGGATGCTGGATCTCCGGGAGCTGGATTTATAGGTAGTTGTACGCCATCTGACATGGGTGCAGAGAACTGAACTCCCATCCTTTACAAGAGCAGCAAGATGAGACCTCTCTCCTGGCTCAGGAATCTACATTTTACCTTGAAGTCTACGAAAGAATATTGTCCTTCCAAGTTTTGCATGATGGCACAAACCTGTAATCCCAGCCCTCAGCTGGAGGCAGGAAAGGGAATTGCTTTTCCTATGTACCT